TAGTAATATTTTATGATTCTTTGTATTTATTTGCCATCTGTGGGAATGTCCCCTTTTATTTATAATTATGCTTATTAATGTTTCTCTCTTCTTTTGTTAGCTTATCTAGAGGTTTACTGATTTTGTTTATGTTCTGAAGAACCAACTCTTCATTGATCTTTTGTATGGTCTTTTTGATTTCTATTTCATGTATTTCCACTCTTATGTTACTTCCTTCCTTCCACTAGCTTTGGGTTTGTTTCTTCCTCTTTTTTAAGTTGCTCTAGATGTAATATTGTTTATTTGGAATTTTCTTGCTTACTAATATGGACCTGATTTGTAATTATCTTTCCTCCTTCTAAGACTGCTTTTGCTGCATCCCATAGTTTTTGATAGTTTGTTTCCTCATTTGCATTAGTATCAAGGTATTTTTTGAAATTTCCGTATTGAGGGCCTCCCCTCATGGCTCAGCAGTTGAGTGCTGGGCTGCAAGGCTGCCCGTAGCCTCTGCAGCGCCGGTTCATTCCCTGGCCACAGGTGAGGGTCCCACAAAAAAAAAAAAAAAGAAATTTCTGTGTTGAATTCCTCGTTATTTCAATAGCTATTAAACAACATATTGTTCAGGTCCATGTATCTATGGTTTTTCCTACTTTTTAAATAGTTGATCTAGTTTTATGGTAATATGGTTAGAAAGAATATGGTTGGTATGATTTCAATATTTATAGTTTTATTGACAAATATTTGTATCCCAATAATGGTCTTGAAAATATTCAGTTTGCACTTGAAAAAAATGTATATGCTATTTTGTTGTGCATTGTTCTTAGAGGTGTTTAAACCTATTTGGTCTAACTCTTCATTTAAGGCTATTGTTTCCTTATTCATTCTGTCTGGTTGATGTGTGCATAATTGTAAGTGGCATAAAAATTCACCTAGTATTATTGTGTTGTTGTCAATCTCTTTATTAATATCAGTCTCGTATATCTTGGTGCTCTATCGTTTGATGCACATATTATTTTTAAAGACTTATTTATTTATGCATACAAGAGCTGGGGTACAGCCAGAGATGGAGGGGGTGAGAGGATTCACCAGAGACAGAGTGGGGAACAGAACAGGCAGACTGGCCGAAATACACTGCTGAGGGGAGCAGCAGGCGAGACAGGAGAGCTCTGCTTCGCCATGTGGATTGTTCCCTGGCTGGCCGGGGATTGAACTTGTGCTGCAGAGGCTGCAGACTGCTTCATAGTGCGGTGCTTAACCCCTTGCGCCACCAGGGAGTCTCCAATGCACATATATTTATAAGTATTATTTCTGGGCCTCCCCGGTGGCGCAGCAGGTTGAGTGCTGCACTGTGAAGCTGTCCGCAGCCTCTGCAGCATGGGTTCGATTCCTGGCCAGTCAGGGAAATACCCACATGGTGGGGCAGACCTCTCCTTCCTCACTCGCTGCTCCCCTCAGTGGTGTCTTTGGTCTGTCTGCATGTTCTGCTCCTTGCTCTGTCTCCGGTGAATTCTCTCACCCTCCGGCGCCTCTGGCCTGTACCCCAGTTCTTATATAAATAAATAAATCTTTGCTTTCATAATTTCAAATAAATTTAAAAAAGATTTTCAAATAAATCTTTGCAGCAATTCCACTCCTAGGTATTTACCCAAATGACACAGAAACAGTAATTCCAAAGGGCACCTGCACACCTATGTTTATAGCAGCACTATTTACAATAGGTAAGCTATGGAAACAACCCAAATGCCCAAAAACAGATGACTGGATCAAGAAGATGTGGTACATATACACCATGGAATATTACTCAGCAATCAAAAAAGGTAAACACATGCAGTTTGCAGCAACATGGATGGAGCTAGAAGGTATCATTCTCAGCGAAATAAGTCAGAAAGAAAAAGAAAAATACCGGATGGTCTCACTCATAGCAGGAATTTAGAAAACCTATATAAGAGACCAGGAAAAAGACTAATCAATCAAAATCAACAAGCAACTATAAACCAGAGACACACTATGCAGGGGGGATTAAGGAGGGGCAGGGAGAGGAAGAACTAGAGTCAAAATAAGGGGGTGGGGGGTGCAACTGTATGGGGAATATAACCAAAATGAAAATGCATACATTGTACAAAGATGAAAAATGATGTAAGAATTATATAAAATAAAATATAAATAAATAAATAAATCTTTAAAAAAAAGAAAAGTGTTATTTCTTATTTCTTGTATTAGGCATCTAATCATAATGTAAAGTCCATTTCTATCTCTTATTACCTTTTCTTTTTGAAAAAAGATTTATTTATTTATGCATACAAGAGCTGGGGTGCAGGCCAGAGGAGTGGGGGCTGAGAGGATCCACCAGACATAGAGTGGGGAGCACAACAGGTGGAAATACTCTGCTGAGGGGACCAGTGGGTGAGACAGGAGAGGTATGTTGTGCCATGTGGGTCACCTCCCTGGCGGGGGGATGGAACTTGCTGCAGTAGCTTTGGATAGCTCAGTGGCTGTGGATAGTGCTGCAATTTAACCCCTCACACCACCAGGGAGGCCCCTCTTATTACCTTTTTAACTGGACATCTATTTTATCTGATATAAGTAGTTATCCCTGACTTTTTTGCTTTGTCATTTTCTTGTAGGATTGTCTTCCAGCCTTTAACTCTAAATCTGTGCTGTTTATGTAGGTAAGATGGGCTTCCCATAAACAGCAGAAGTTTGAACTTAGTTTTGAAATCTTCTCAGTCATTCTATACATTTTAATGGTGAATTCAAACCAATTACATTGAAAGTTATTATTGAGGCCTACGTACATATTGCCATCTTGTATTTAAAATTTTATTTAGCTTGTCTTTGTCTTTTTAATTTTTAACCTCTTCCTTTTATGTTTTGTTTAGGCTCCATTTCCACCACCTCATATTTTACATTGTTGATTTTTATCTGATGGTTAGTATGTCATAGGTTTATTTCTGTGGTCTGTTTGACGTTCTGATCTCAAACTCATTTTGATGGGCTGCATTGTTTTTCTTCTCTTCTTCCAAATTGTGTAATTTAGGTGCCTGTTAATTTGTTTGTTTGTTCTGGAATTTGTTTGTTGTTTGTTTTATAATAGTCCCTTTAGTACTTCATGTCCAGCTTGGTGTTTATAAATTCTTTCAATTTGTTCTTTCCAGTGAAGTTCCCTATCTTTACTTCTCTCTTGTTTAATAGTTTGGTGGGATAAAGCATTCTGTACCATAAATCACTGTCTTTGAGTACATTTTAATATATCCTGCCATTTTCTTTTTGCCTGTGAGATTTCTACTTTAAAGCCCATGCATTATCTATAGGCGTTTCCTTAAAGGTTAATTTTCATTCGATTGGTGTTTTTAATATTCTGTCCTTGTCACTGATTTTCAGCTTCTTAATTATAAAATGTCTTAGAGTGTTTTGGTCAGATATCATTTTGTTTGGAACTCTTTGGAGTTCTTGTATCAGGACATCTGGTTCATTTCCCAATTTGAGATGGTTTTTAGTAATTGTTTCTTCGATTAAAAAATTTTTTGCCTGGCTGGGAATCGAACCCACACTGCAGAGGCTGCGGACATCTTCAAAGTGCTGCGCTCAACCTGCTGCGCCACCGGGGAGGCCCCACCAACTGGGAGAACATTTTTGCACCCAACGCTAATGATAGAGGACTGATCACAAAAATCTGCAAAGAGCTGATGAGACTCAACAACAACAAAGAAAATAATCCAGTCCAAAAATGGGCAGAAGAGCTAAAAAGAAACTTCTCTGAAGAGGAAATGCAAATGGCCAACAGGCATATGAAAAAATGTTCAACATCACTTGTAATCAGGGAAATGCAAATCAAAACTACCATGAGATACCATCTCACACCAGTGAGAATGGCACATATTAAAAAAACTAGCAACAACAAATGTTGGCGAGGGTGTGGAGAAAAAGGAACTCTTCTGCACTGTTGGTGGGAATGCAAACTGGTCCAACCACTATGGAGAGCTGTGTGGAGATTTCTGGACCTACTAAACATAGAGCTTCCATATGATCCAGCAATTCCACTCCTAGGTATTTACCCAAAGGACACAGAAACATCAATTCCAAAGAACACCTGCACCCCTATGTTTATAGCAGCACTGTTTACAATAGCTAAGCTTTGGAAACAGCCCAAATGCCCCAAAATAGATGACTGGATCAAGAAGATGTGGTACATATATACCATGGAATATTACTCAGCATTCAAAAAAGATAAACACATGCAATTTGCAGCAACATGGATGGCGCTGGAAGGGATCATGCTCAGCGAAATAAGCCAAAAAGAAAAAGAAAAATACTGGATGGTCTCACTCGTAGCAGGAATCTAGAAAACTTAAATATGGGACCAGGAAAATGAATAACTATAAGAAAGTGAAAATCAAAATCAACAAAAAACTATGAACCAGAGACACTTTTTGGGGGGTGGGGGGCCGGAGGGGAGGGACTGGGGTCAGAATGGGGGGATTGCAATTGTATGGGAATATAAAAATAAAATTTATTATTTAAAAACTAAATAAATAAACAAACAATAAAAAAAATTTTTTTTTGCCTTTCTCTTTTCTTCTTGGTGTCCCCATTAATACCTCCATGGGGCCTCCATGATATGGATGTTTCTCTTTTGTTTAATCCCAAAGAATTCTTATACTGTGTTCATTTTTAAATAGCTTTTTCTTCTTCATTGTTCTATTTGTGTGTTCACCACAACTGTCCTTTTAAGTTCACTAATACTCTCCATTACTTGTGTTTGTCTACTGCTGAGGCCCTTTATTGTATTTTTAATTTGGTTATAGTATTTTTTAGATCCATTAGTTCTAGTTGTAGGAGTCTCATATTTTCTTGATCTTTATTGTGTTCCTTTTCACATCATCCATTGTTTTTCCTAATTTAGCAAGCATGGCTCTAACTTATCTTTCAAATTCTCTTCAGGCATATTCTGTAGTTCTGCTGGAATGAGATTTCTCTCAGAGTATTTTTTTGCTCCAGCATTTGTGACATGTTCTTTTTTTTTTTTTAAAGAGAAGTAAGCCTTTATTTCCTAATATCACAATGAAAGCTGGCTTTGTAGGTTGCTTTTTGGTGATTAGTCGAAGAGACCAAATCCCATATCCTCATCAGACTCCTCCGACTCTTCCTTTGCTTCAGCCTTGGCTGGGGCTGCAGCAGCAGCAGGAGCAGCAGTGGTGACAGCAGCCACAGGGGCAGCAGCCACAAATGCAGATGGATCAGCCAAAAAGGCCTTGACCTTTTCAGCAAGTGGGAAGGTGTATTCAGTCTCCACAGACAAAGCCAAGACCCGCTTGTACCCATTGATAATAGAATGGGGCAGTGATGCCACAGTTGGATAGCCGATCTGCAGACACATACTGGCAACATTACGAACACCCTCCAGGAAGCGCGAGTGCAGCGTGTGCTCTGTGATGTCGAGCACCTCAGGGTTGTAGATGCTGCCATTGTCAAACACCTGCTGGATGATCAGCCCAAAGGAGAAGGGGGAGATGTTCAGCATGTTCAGCAGTGTGGCCTCGCTGGCTCCCACTTTGTCTCCGGTCTTGATCAGCTGCACGTCACTCAGGATTTCAATGGTGCCTCTGGAGATCTTAGTGGTGATGCCCAAAGCCTGGAAGAAGGAGGTCTTCTCGGGCCCCAGACCGGTGTTTTGGGCTGGCACAGTGACTTCACATGGGGCAATGGCACCTTGTTGGCCAGCAGCATGTCCCTGATCTCAGTGAGGTGTGACATGTTCTTTTGTCTCTTCACTTTTTTTTTTTTTATGAGTTGCAAAGTGGGTGGAAAGCAAGTTGCTTTTCTTATCTTTTTTTTTAATGTTAATTTTTTTTTTAAGATTTATTTATTTATTTATTTATTTATTTATTTATTTATTTATTTATTTATTTATTTATTTATACAGGCACTGGGTACAATCAGAAGCGCGGGCGGGAGGGTGAGAGAATTCACCAGAGCCAGAGCGGGGAGCAGAGCAGGCAGAAGGACCGAAGTACACTGCTGAGGGGAGCAGCGGGCGGCAGGAGAGGTCTGCGCGCCATGTGGGACCCTCCTCCGGTGGCTGGGGAGCAGCCGGGGATCGAACCGGCATTTCAGAGGCTGCGGGCAGCTTCGCAACCCAGCGCTCAACTGCTGCGCCACCGGGGAGGCCCTGCTTTTCTTATCTTAATAAATTGACTTTTGCCCTTTCTATAAGATGCTGGATATATGTAAAGGTTTGTTTTTTTTTAAAACTCAACATCTCTAGGTGTCATTTATTTCATTGACCACTGCTTTTGCATGTGTTCAGATGGCCAGGGCACCGTTGCCAATAAGGAGTGATAGGTAGAAAGGAACTTAGACTGTAGGGCACCAAAAGGTCACTTGCAATGAGCATCAAGGATTCAAACTTCCCACAGTGGTGTGGGTATCTGTGTTGTGTGGTGCTGATACACAGCAATCCTCTCTGTCAGCCCAAGTGTTGTTACATCTGTTACCAACCTCTACCTTTAAGCTGTAGTTGAGCACTAGATGCAGTGCTGACTGAAGACTATAGTTGAGACAAGGCCATAAACCAGGAATTTTCTCTTTCTTTTTCTATTATGGAGCTTTAACCTAGGACACTTGCTCCTGTTATTAAGATCAGCTCTGGTTAGTGAGAGCAATCCATTGTTGTTTCAGTTTGGCCCTGGAGAGCAATAAGGGAGGTGTCAAAAATCACAGTCTCAGGCTGCAAATAGTAGATTCTTCTATAAGGAGACACAGGTAAGTCCATATGGCTTTCCCCACAGGCTCATGTTCCTACTGTTCTAGGTTGGGCACCTCAAATTCAAACCAGTAATTATCACTTTGTACCCTTACTGCTATAGTTCTCCAAAGGTGCACTCTCTACCCTGCATGCTAACTGTGTACCCTGTGCTGATGCAGTTCCAGGTTTCCAAAGTCTCTGATGTGGGCTTGTGTCCCTATGTTAAGAATAGCATAAGGGCTCTGTATAGGAGCAGCCCCTCCCTCTAGTAGGTTGTACTGCTCCTGTATCACTCTAAACATAGTTTAACTTCAGTTTTTCCTCCTCTTTTTCTGCCACATCACTGTTCCTTATACATGTTTATCTTCCAGGGGTTATTGACTTTGGTTCATTGTAATTTGATTGTGATGATGTGGATAAAGTGTGCCCATAGTTTTCCCTTTACCATCATTTTCCTGAAATCACTCTTTTTTCTATTTATTTCTAAATCTATATATTTTGCATAATTATTCATTTTTGTACAGTTTGCTCTCTCCTCTCAAGTGTAATCCCTATAAAATTCCCATCCGCGAACCATCACCATAGTCTCTTGTGTTCTTCCCAGCCCTGTTTTATGCCCTCTCCCTTCCCCTCCCCTGCAGAATATCTCTGATTTACAGCTGCCTGCTATTTTTGTCTACCCCTCCTGAATCCCTTATTCCCCCGATCCCCTATATTCCTCCTATAAGTGAGTACATCCAATATTTTTGTTTTTCCTTCTCACTTATTTCACTGAGCATGATCCCCTCCAGCTCCATCCATGTTGCTTCAAATGACATGAGTTTATCTTTTTTGATTGCTGAATAGTATTCCATTGTGTATATATACCACATCTTCTTGATACAGTTATCTGTTTTTGGGCATCTAGTTTGTTTCCTTGTCTTAGGTATTGTAAATAGTCCTGCAATAAACACAGGAGTGCAGGTTTCCTTTTGAATTAATGTTTTTGTGTCCTTTGGGTAGATTTCTAGGAATTGCTGTTAACCCCTCTTTTTTAAAAAAAAAGTTTTTTTTCTACTTTTCTAACTGTATAATATTTTTAAAGATTTATTTATTTATTTATTTATTTATTTATTTATTTATTTATTTATTTATTTATTTATTTATTTATATAAGCACTGGGTACAGTCAGAATCACGGGAGGATGAGAGAATTCACCAGAGCCAGAGTGGGGAACAGAACAGGCAGAGTGACGAAATACACTGCTGAGGGGAGCAGCGGGCACGGCAGGAGAGGTCAGCCATGTGGGACCCTCGCCGGCGACTGGGGATCAAACCAGTGCTGCAGAGGCTGTGGGCAGCTTCGCAGCCCAGCGCTCAACTGCTGCGCCACCAGGGGAGGCCCTAACTGTATAATTTTTAATGTTCTAGTTTCAAGTTTCCCTGCTTTCTCCATTCTGCTATTGAGATCATTCATTAAATTTTAAAATTTCAGTTATTATATTTTTTTTGGTAGGAGAAAAGGTGTGCATATATTTTTTTAATTTTTTAAATATTTTATTTTATATAATTTTTACAACATTTTTCATTTTTGCACAATGTATGCATTTTCATTTTGGTTACATTCCCCATACAATTGCACCCCCCTTTATTTTGACCCTAATCCTTCCTCTCCCCTTCCTCCCTCCCCACTCCAGTATTGTGTCTCTGGTTTATAGTTGATTGTTGATTTTGATTTTCACTTTGTATTAATTAGTATTTTTCCTGGTCCGTTATTTAGGTTTTCTAAATTCCTGCTATGAATGAGACCATCTGGTGGCACATATTAAAAAAACTAGCAACAACAAATGTTGGCAAGGTTGTGGAGAAAAAGGAACTCTCCTGCATTGCTGGTGGGAGTGCAAACTGGTCCAACCACTATGGAGAGCTGTGTGGAGATTTCTTGACCTACTAAAGATAGAGCTTCCATATGATCCAGCAATTCCACTCCTAGGTATTTACCCAAATGACACAGACACATTAATTCAAAAGGGCACCTGCACCCCTATGTTTATAGAAGCACTATTTACAATAGCTAAGCTGTGGAAACAACCCAAATGCCCCAAAATAGATGACTGGATCAAGAAGATGTGGTACATATACACAGTGGAATATTACTCAGCAATCAAAAAAGATAAACACATGAGGTTTGCAGCAACATGGATGGAGCTAGAAGGTATCACGCTCAGCGAAATAAGTCAGTTATTATATTTTTCAGTTTTACCTGCCACTTGATTCATTATATCTTATTTCTTTGTTGAGATAGTGTATCTTTCCATTTGTTTCAATAGGGTTTGCACATACTTTTTAAGGGCACTTTTATAGTAGCAGCTTTAAAATCTTTGTCAGATAATTCCTATACCATTTTCATGCCAGCAGTGACATCTGTTGATTGTCTTTTCCCAGGAAAATTGAAAATTTCCTGGCTCCTTGTATTCTGAGTAATACATGCTCATTTGAAAAAATTCATTGCATTATATCCTGGTCATTCTGACTGTTGTGTCTTGTAACTCTGGATCCTTTTTTTTTTTTAATTAATTAATTTATTTATTCAAGCACTGGGTACAGTCAGAAGCACAGGAGGGTGAGAGAATTCACCAGAGCCAGAGGGGGAGCAGAGCAGGCAGAAGGACCGAAGTACACTGCTGAGGGGAGCAGCGGGCAGTAGGAGAGGTCTGCGTGCCATGTGGGACCCTCTTCCGGTGGCTGGGGAGCAGCCGGGGATCGAACCGGCACTGCACAGGTTGCAGGCAGCTTCGCAACCCAGCGCTCAACCGCTGCGCCATCAGGGAGGCCCAACTCTGGATCCTTTTAAAATCCTATGAGAATGTTGATATTTTAGTAGGTTATTGACTTGATTGGCTGCAAGTTCCAACCAATCAAGGCGGTTGTGGCATCAGTGTCAGTTCCATTTTCAAAATCTTTGCTGTGCTATTCTGTTTTGGATGTGCCATCCAGTGGCAAGTTTGGGGCCAGGGTGGTGTCTCTGCCATACTTTTGCTCTCTAAAAGTCTATGAATTGCTGTCTAGAGTCAGATCCACACAGTTCACAAATAATTTTTTAATTCTCTTGTTCCTTTCCGGTTATTGGGTTTCTCTTTTGTGGTCCTCTAGACAGAAACGTAGAGTTGTTCCTTATTTTGCTACATATGCCTAATGACTGAATCCATATCTGGAGCCAGCTGGTGAAGTACAGAGAGAGAAAAAAATTCAATATGTGCTTTATCTTCACCCCATTAGCAATCAAATTCCCTCTGATCAGACAAAGATTCTCCTCAGAAACTTTGACTCCTGAAGACCCCCATTGCAGTGATTTTGATTTTGCTGCTCTGCCCGAACTGTATCAGCCCAAAACTGCTTAGGAATGAGACAAGAAAAATGAGGAAAAAGAAAAAATGGGATCATCCCCTATTAGCTCTATATCTTAAGATAACCCTTTCCTGTTCTTCCTGCTAGAATCAGATGGCTTCTCTGGAAGCTCTTTTGTACATGGTAATGTACTCTTTAGGCTTCAGGCTGCATTGATTCTAGATTGGGGGATACTGGAAGGGAAAACGGGGGATTCACCACTGGTTCAGTTATACTTAGGATTCTAGTATTCTTAACCATTGTCATTTACTTTTCAGAGTCCTCAGAGTCCACGTGTCTGCATCTAGGTTTTATACTTGCATTTAGTGGGAGAGACAGGGTAGAGAGTGCTGATTCCATTTTTACCAACACAGTTCATTTTGTAGGATGACTCCAACCAACGCATGCATTATGACTTTTATAGGTCCTAGACACATTTTCATTTGTGGCTCCTTCCTCCACACACACAAAAATTGAAATACATTATATATATATATTATATGAATATGGTACTTATGCTTCTAATTTTACGATTACATTCATTCTTTTAAATTCAAAATAATCTAAGATAAAGATGGCTTGTGGGTCTCTAAAAGTATCAGGGACAATTGGCTCTGCTTTGCTCTGGGTCTGTTTAGTGTTCCTCATGACCAGCCCCAGGCTGTCCATTTCTGGAGGAATAATGCTGAAATGATGCTGTGTTATTCTTAGCATATCATGATGATAACTTCATCATCATGGCAATAACTTATCACCTGGCTTAGTCATTGGAAACTTGGTTCCATGGTCAAGTCACTGTCTGCCAGACTTGTCCACCACGAAGTCACCATTTCTCCTTCATGTGGTTTGAGAATTTTGTGGGGGAGATATTTGAGACCATGCCAAATACTCCAGCTGTCCTTATTTTCCTAATAAGTGACTCCAGAACATAGCTATGTCACAAAAACCATTCTACTGTGGTTATAGATCTTGTGAGTCAGGAGTTCAGACAAGACACAGTTTGACTTGTCTCTGTTCCTCCATCATCTGTGACCTCAGCTGAAATGACTTGAACTATCCAGAAGTGACTCAAATGGTTAGTAGCTAGAAGATTCACATTGAAGATGGCACATGGCACATGAGCTGGGGTGACTGATGTACAGGTTCCATGAGGGATTATTGCCATCGGAGACACCAACATGTGGCTTTTCCTTGCATCTTGGTCTTTTCACAGCAAGTTCACAGGGTTCTGAGAGGGAGCAATCCAGGATGGGAGTGCTCCAAGAGATAAAGGCAAAAGCTGCAAGATTTTCTGACATGGCTGTAGAGGTCACATTGTTACTGCTGCCACAATATCGATTAAGAGTGAGCCTCTGTAGTCTGCTCAGATTCAAGGAGAGGGAACTTCTCACCTGATAGGGTGTGAGAGAAGAGCATGTGTAGGGGGAGATTTTATTGAAAGCTATTTCAGAAATGCATTCTACATTTTGCAATAGTCTATTTCTCATGAAGCCTTCACCCACTAGCCTTACAGCATCTACAAAATCTTCTGTCTGAATCAATCCACACAGTAGTTTCTCTATTTCTGTTACCCTTTCTACATTTATCAGTTGGCTTTGCACTGATAGGAAGAGCTATCTCTTCTTAATCAATATGGACTCATGGATTCCTATGTTATTCAATGGGTTGGAGTCTGTTGTTATTTTTATTTTGTTGCTCTAATTGCCCCAGACTTGGTCATTGGAAGTCCCTCTGGCTGTCTCCTATATCTTTAAACATGTCACTTCGGGTACTTGACTTCTCCAGTTCCCCAGCCTGGGAAACAGCCATTTGTTCGAGGAATCCTAATTCCTTTTGCTGTAGGATGGTGTTTAGAAATCAAGATTTGGGGACTTGGTGTGCTTGTTGATAATGGGATGTCATTGGTTTTAGGCCCCCTCAGTGGACAGAACTATGGAGAAAGCACACACACACACACACACACACACACACACACACACACACGACATACATATATATTAATTATATAGTTCTCATGGACAGCTCTAATTCCTCAGGTTTCTTTCTCACCTTCCCTTCTCCATATTCATATTTCTCTTCTTCAGCAATTAGGAAACCCTGTTTCCCACTACCCTTAATATATTTGCTCACTCCCCTTGTGTGTAACTGATTTTATGACCACACTGACTGCTCCTTGGCCTCCAACTATGTTGCCAAGGGAAGGGGTGGGAAGGGAAGGGAGAGGCAGAGAGGAGAGAGGGAGGGTCTCCAACACTTTGTGAGTTAGCCCTTCACCTCACCCCTCCCTCCCCTGCTTCTGTTGGCCTTGACTGCTGCTGCTTCCTGATACCAGCCACTCAATGGCAAGAGCCCTCTTGACTCTCCTCGACTTACTCTCTCCCTCAGCTTATTCCTTCCTTCTCCTTTCCAATAGGAGAGTTTGTTTCCTTCCTTTCTTTTTCTTTTTTTAGAGATTTATTTATTTATGCATACAAGAGCTGGGGCACAGGCCAGAGATGTGGGGGGTGAGAGGATTCACCAGAGGCAGAGTGGGGAACAGAACAGGCAGACTGACTGAAACACACTGCTGAGGGGAGCAGTGGGCGAGACAGGAGAGGTCTGCTGCACCATGTGGGTAGCTCCCTGGACGGCCAGGGATCGAACTTGTGCTGCAGTGGCTGTGAATAGTTTGACAGGTTGCTTCTTAACCCCTTGCACCACCATGGAGGACCCCAGAGTATTTCAGCCAGGTGCAAACCTGTGGGAAGGAGCTAGGGAACAGAGTATTTATTCTATTCCCTACCTCCTTCCCGCAGCTTTGCACCTGGCTGGTGACAACCCTCACAACTCCTGCCACAGATGCTCTCCTTTACCTTCCAGGCCCAGGGAGGGTGATAGTCCTCTCTCACTGGCTCTGCTCTGTGCCTTTTGGCTTCCTGCGCCTTTCTAACACTTAGTAAGAGTCCCTTTATTAAACTAAAGTATCATGTTTGCACATGCTGTAAAAGCAGTATGGACTCTTTCTGGCTTGCAAAGTCCTAACAAACACCTTTAAACAACTCCACCTACCCAGAGGGCACTTCTGAAATGCGAATGCAGTTGCTGCCCAAACCCACCTCCAGAGACAAATAAGGTCTTGCTACTAAGGAAGAATTAAGAACAAATCCTAGGCTCAGTGGTGGAGGCCCTGCTCTGCCACAGGTTCACCACACCACGCCCTCTGCTCCAGTCACACCAGGGAATGGCCACACACTCTCCTAGCTCCTACTTTCTGCTAGCTCTGTCTTTACCTTCTAAATGAGGCAACTGATTACCTTTTGAAATATAAGATTACAGGAAAGAATAGTTAAGCCTGATTGCCAGCACACACAAAATCCTGATTTCTAACAGATCTATTCTATTCTGAGTCAACCACATGGGCATCTACAGAGATCGCTCTCTCTCTCTCTCTCTCTCTCTCTCTCTCTCTCTCTCTCTGTCACTCACTCACTCACACACACACACACACACACACACACACACAGAACTATCCTGCAGTTTCCTGGGTGACAGTAGAGGTGAGGTGGCTCAGTTCTTTCTGGAAGAATCTGTCTGGGCTCTGCTGTGCTCTGGCCGTCACTGAGTCAGCTGCCCCCCAAGTACCCTGAGTCTCCTTCATGGATGGACAATGCTGAAATGCAGCCTTGTAACACTGAACCTCAGTCCCAAGAAAAGGGGCACATGTTGACCATCTCAGCTGGAGCCTTAACTTGGCAGGTTTTATCTTTTCCAATGTTGAACCTGTCTGGTAGTTCTGTGGCCCACTGGTGGGGAAGCAGAGATGGGTCTACTCCACTCACTGACAGAGAAAAGATTTGGGGACCATGTATAGGCGTGACCTCTCAAGGTCAAGGTTGATTCCGTAGAATACATCCTAGCACTGCCTCCTCATCTGATTCAATTCTCAACTTAACCCTGGGAGGGGGAGGTCATCATCCCCATTTGCAGGGGAAAAAATAGAGGCTTAGTGAGAAGTTCTCTTGCCCAAAGCGGCAAAAGTTGGGGGAGGCTGGCTGCGAATCAGCTCTTTGCTTTCTGACCCTCTGCCTTCCACACTGGCTGCTCCCAGAGGGAAGTTCCCTCACTGCGTAGGCTCTCACTCCCTACCTGGCTCAGGGCAGATTCTGTGCCCTCAGCTTGGACTCTGGAAGCAGGTTTGTGCCCCTGCTGGCAGCAGATTGGCTGATGTCTCTGGCTTCCACCCCCAACTGCCACCATGATGTCATTGTCCTAGTCCAGCAGGTAAAGGCCACCCAACTGTGGGTTGCTCAGCCCGTGCCTTGTCCAGTGTGCCTGTTCCCTCAGGCCCCACCTAGTGCTTTCCCAGCTCCAAGTTCTGTGACAGTGGGGGTGGGGTGGGGGTGGGCGTGGGGGTGAGCAGAGTCACCATCTGGCTGTGGCAATGAGATTCAGACACATGAGGCAATTCATCAGAGAACAATCAAGACAGCATATACTTAAGCACAAGGCTCTGCAGGGCAGATCCTGCTAGAGCTCAGGGGAGGCGGAGGGGCTGGGTAGGAGGAAGACAGATGGGTGAGTAGGTGGGGTGGGAGGCCCAGGCCCTGCTTGGGAGCTCCAGCCTCCCCACCCCCTTCCTTGGAGACACAGAAAGAAAGCTGCCTCCCTTGCAGTATGTTCTAGAAGGTGGGAGACCACCGCCCCAGCCCGCCTCCTTGAGCAGGAGGGGGGCTGAAAGTTCTCAGGGGTGATATGGGGAGGACTAGGACAAGTTAGGCTGAGGGGGCCCACAGGCAAGGAGTGTACCCAGGGCAGGGATGAGGGGAGGCAGGGATGCAGAAACAAGGCCAGCTGGCTCCAACTAACCCCAACACTCCTCCGTTTTGAGGAGGTTTAGGATAGCATTTCAGGACTAACACATGGAGACAATTCTGATACGTATATTGTGGCACCTTAAGGTCTGAGTTCAGCAGGGACAGGAGACCTTCTGGTGCCTGCTGATAGGCTTTGTCCTGGGTGTTGTGTTGGGAGTGTCTCTACCCAGTTTCCCTGGGCCACCTACTGGTTCACAAGGAGCCTCACCCCACTCCTGTGACCCCTTGCAGATTCACAGTGAACACACCCTCTTGCTGCTGGTGCTGGTGGGCTGGGAGCCCAGTCCTAAGAGCCAGGTCAGGCTACTTGGGAGAGGCCATAGGCTGCCAGGGCTCTTCAGAATGTGTGTTCCACTTGCAAGGAGATTCAGAGACAGAGCTCCTAACCAGGTCCTGGGCCTCCCACCCCGCTGATGCTACCCCCCCAACCCCACACCTAGCACCCCAGCAGCTACCACACACACCAGATGTCCACGGATAAAAGAAAGTGGAACTCAGGACTTGGCAACAGGGTTTTAGAATTTGTGTTTATTGACACGTAAGCACAGAGGTCCCTGGGAGACCACCCTTTGGTCCCCTCACCTTGAGACTTGTTCCTAAAGAGAGGGGAAACAGTCATCTTGCCTTGGAACAAAATTCCCCTTTGTACAGAACACAACTCCCAGGAACCCCACTGATATGGGCACAGGTAAATCCTTGGCAAGGCGGGCATGGTGTGTAAAAGGCAAAGCTCTGTGCATTTGGCAAAGCTGTAGAACCTTGACGAAAAGCAGAGGCCTTCTGTGGCTGCCCCTCTGAATTATAGGTAGGATCAACCCAAAACACAGCTTATTTTGTATAGGCCCACCTGGGTTCTGTTGAGCTTGCATGGGGGAACCAGGCCTCGGAGTAGGCCGAGTTGTTCCCCCACTCCTGGTAATACTGCTGAGGTAGCCAGACGCCCATGCCAGAAATGGCACTGCGGGGCAGGGGGTGGTGGGGCTGTGCTGGCCCTGGAGAGCAGGGGGAGAAGGACTGCAGCTGAGCTTCTCCACACTGCCCACCCCGAGTTGCTCTCCATGCTGCGACACACCCATCGCCTAGTCTTGGATGTGGACAGGCTGGATGAGGGAGGCCTCAACTGCCTCTGGGAAGCCAGAAGGCTGGGAACCTAACTAGCAGCGGGGAGAGGCCAGTTATGCTCTCCCACACCTGCTCTCCTGCCTCACACCTGTGCTTTTTCTACGCCTGCTGGCTTAGGAACAGCCCTACCTGTAAAAGCAGGGCTTGATTCTGCCAGTTTTTGCGTTCCATATAAGGCGCTGGCATCTGCACCTCCATTCCTTTCCAACCCACTTAATTTAAGAATAGAAACTAATAATACTTAATCACCCTTCCTGCTGACAGTGGGGGAGGGCCTCAGCACCGGCAGCATCTCCCCAGGATACATACAGCTCTCCCCAGAACCTCCAGAACTCAGTGCAACCCCTGTGCCTGACAGGGGAAACCAGGTCCAGAGATACACTTGGACTTGCTCAGCACATGCAATGGGGCAGTGGCCCAGCTGAGACTTGAGAAGGGGATCATGATTTCCTGACCAATGTCCCTGCTGAGGGACACTGGGACTGAGACTTGGAGAGGGAGCGGGCCCAGTTCAGGCCTGGTCAAGACAGAAGAGACCTCCTCTGTGCTCAGTGCCAGCATAAGGCCATTGTCCGTGCAGATGAGCAGGAACATGGGTCTCCTTGGCTCCAAGGCAAGGACCCAGGGCCGACTCCTGACAGCAGACATTTTCCAGGCAGCCAGGTTTGGGGGGGCCTCCATCCCAGCAGCTGGGCTTGGGGGTGGGTCAGCCTGGAGAGTGCCTCACAGAACCTCACCGGCAGGACTCAGATCACCAAGTGGTGCAATCCAGACCTTGGGGCGGGGCCAGTATTCTGGGAGCTCCACACTGGGCAGCAATCCACTGAGTAAGATTAGCAAGAAAAGAGAAAAACAGACACCCAGAGCTCCCTCCCTCCATTAAGGTCAGGTCATGGGTAGTGGGCTGGCAGGGAAGAGTGGGCCATGTCCTACCTCGGCCCTGTGCAGCAAGGAGCTGACAAGGAGGTTTCTGGATATTGGAAGGCAGCAGGGGCTTCAAGTTAAGCTGAGCAACACCAGGTTATCATCGGCCACCAAATGCCTCTGAATTCTGGGGACCATGTTTAGGATGCTTGTTATCATGAGCCCTTGCACAAGGTGTGGACTGCATCATAACAACTTTTTCATCCCTGCTGTGAAGTGTGGGTGGTGGTAAATGCTGAGCCTGAAGACAGGCTCCCCTGACCCCACCAAAGGCAGGCTCCCTCCCCACTGCGGGATAGCCCACTGACCTCAGGAAGGGTGGCTTTCACCTCTGCCCCTTTCCAGGGCTGAGAAGGGCAGAGGCTGCCCTCACTACAGTGGGGGTCAGCATGTGCCCTGTGCAGACTGTTCTGGGGCCTTGCTGCCCAGCATGACTGAACACCTCACAGAACCTTGGGGCCTGAGTCAAGCTTCCTCCTATTGTTCCCCACCCCCAAAATTCTCCCCTTCTCAGACACATTGGGCTCTGCCTGCAGCAGCCCTGCCCACCACTGCCAGCCCAGGTACACCCAACTAGAGACCCCTGACCTGTCTGGAGCCCTCGCCCAGCCCTGCGACCCTTAAATTTGCAGACATCATGTCTTTCCCACCTGACATGAGCTCCTTAAGTGACCCAAGCCTGGTGAATTTTGAGTTTCATCTCCTCAGGGTATGCCGGGGAATGTGGGGTTCTCTCACAGGTGGTCAGGCTGGGGACAGGGCAGACCACCATCTGCAGGGCAGACTGAGTGAGGGAGAGAAGTGTGGGTGTAAGGGACAGACTCCAATAGACCCAGAGACCCACAGGCTGCCTCAGGTCTTGCCAGAGTCTCTTAAACATGTTTCCAAACATAACCAATTTGACTACCTATACACAAGAACATTCTGGAACATTCTAGTCAAATAGCAGCAAGGACCTGCCTCATGGAGCTGGGAACCTTAGCCTAGGATCCAGCCAGAGATATGAGTGGCAGGGCCAGGCTGGGTAGAGGCCAGTGGGGCCATGGATACCTCAAATGCCCAGAGCCCTGCTGTCTGGCACAGTCCACACTCTTGGGGGTCACTCTGCTGACTATCAGTGGTGCATCACAAAGAGGCAAAGAGAACTCTTTCAGGAAGAATTCTAGTTAAAATCATGCCACAAAATTAATCCTGCTTTTGTGAAAACTTAAACATACCTATTAGAACCTGTCGCCCTGTCAGAGTCCTCGCCTCACCTAGAGCGGTTAAGGCACTTGAATGGCTTGTAACACCTCCTAGAAGAGATTTTGTTTCAATCCTGATTTAGAAAAAAAATTCAGTAATACTGCAAAAAAATTTTTTCCTAAAAAAATCAAGACTTAAGTTTTCTAAGGAATAAAATAAATGCTAAGCTTTGCTTAAGTTATATGACACAACAGGTCATCTTGGCACTGACAAAACTTAGACAAAACCTGAAATACTGCTTCTGAATTAGACCTTTCCTTGGAGGAAAAAAAGACCACAAGCAAAAGACATGCACATTGTGGTTGTGAGCTTCTGACTCCCTGGTGGGAAGAGGGGAGCAGGGATCTGAAGACTGGGGCCCACGTGTTTCAGCTGCTGTGAAGCAGGTGGGTAAGCCTGTAGGCCAGATCCCTGGGTCCCTCTTCCTCTGTGGGAAACCACGTGGCCATCCAGGACCCTCCAGGTGCACCTGTAGATACAGTTACGAGCCCTCCCCCCGGCCCGGGCATGGCCAGTGAGGAGCAGACACCTGGGATGTCTTGAAAACATCTGAAGCTCCCCGGCTTCCTCAGGGTTCCACGTACATCTTGTCGTCCCACGCACATGCCCAGTGTCTTTGGTCTGACTTTGGCCAGTGCTTGTAACCTCTGATCCTGCCCCTGCCTGATGGGCACCTCCGGGACTTCTCTTTGGTGAGGTCTCTTCCCTAAGCTTCCCTGGAGATCTCCGGCTGTCCCACTGTCTTGAGCAGGATGTAACACTCACTGCCCAATGTAGTTCTGTACCCACCAGGAGGGGCCGATGTAAGCAGCACAAGAGGCTCTGGGGTCCTGGGGAAAGTGCTGTGCAGGTGGTGCCTGCCTGCTCATTGTTGCCTGTTGGGTCCTAAGGCATCTGGTCCTAAGAGGGAGGATCACAGGATGGGGGCATATGGGGAGGGCTGAACCTCCTAGCTTCTCTGTGGAATGTTGGTCTCTGGTTCTGAGAGGTCAGAGGGCAAGTCCTGGCTTCTCCCCTCTGCCCGGGAGTCCTCGAACCCCTGGAGCCTGCCCTCTAGCAGGTCTTGGGGTTCCCTGAGGAAGACTACCATAACTGTGATGTTGTCGTGGGAGCCCCGCTCCCGGGCTGCAGCCACCAGCTCCTCAGCAACATGCAGCCCACTGCCGTTCTGTCTGACCAGGTGGCTCTGGACAAGGTCAGCGACTTCCTGATGGGAGATGACATCAAAGAAGCCATCGCAAGCCAGCAGCAGGTAGTCCTCAGAGCCTGTCAGTTCCCGGGAGGATGCGTCTGCTTCTCCAGACACGTAGGGCTTCTGGAAAATGTCCCCTGGGCACAGGAGAGAAGTGCCTGGTGTCAGCAGGCTGCACTGCTGCTGCTCCTCCCGTTCCCCCAAGCTCCGGCCTTACTGCCTACCACCTTCCTGCAATGCCGGTGCTCATAAGGTGAGGACATGGGTGAAAAAATAATTTCAGATGGTGTGAAGAGCAATGAAGAAACAAAAGTGGGTGATGTGACAGATTTACTCTGTGCCCCTGAGGGTAGAGTTAGAACCCAGCAAGGTCAAAAGTGCTCTAAAAGCAGCTTCCTCCTTTCAGTGGAGTTGGTCCCAAAGCAGAGGGGATGGGCAACTGTGATGGAAAACTCCACACTGGCCCAGGATGGGGTATGGGTCCCCATACCCAAGAGCTCCTGATAGTTTCCCTGGACACCTAATCTAACCTGGTCCAAAATGCTTGCTTTTCTTCACAGAAAATGGCACCGTGGTCCCCTTAGTTTCTTATGCCCAAATCTGGGTGTCACTTGATTGTCCTCCTTGGGCTTCAAATCCTATCTGCTAGCAAGTCCGTTGACTTTGCCTGCAACATGCAACTTAAACCCACCTCTCCCTCCTCATGCCTTACCCAGATCCCAGAAAGCTACTGGCTGGCCTCGTTCCCTTCACGCTTGTTCTCAACAGAGTGTGAAGCAGATCGTGCTACCTTCCACAGAGCCACCTAGTGCTTCCCTCTCCTGGGAATGGAGCCACCCTCTAGCCTCCACAAGGAGGCACCGACCCCCGCTGCCTCCCCATCACTGTGTATCCAGAGACACAAAGGCAGAAGGAGCAAGAAGGGTTATAAGGAAGGCACCCCTTTCAGGGGGCAGGGAGGGCCATCCCCACTCACTGCAGGGTTAGCAGGATGGAGTGATTTCTAAGTACACATTTCCCCAGGTTTTCTAAGGTTTTTGTTAGGCTACTTCCCGTTTATGAAAGACCTACACTGATACCTGTTTTTGCTAACTAAAAGAAACCCAAAGAGGGTTTTTCCTTTTACAACTATAGTTGTAAAAGGAAAAACAGTGTTAAGCATTTGTTTAGCAGCAGCTGTTACAGAGGCAGCGTGCTCCCTGAGCAGCGAGAGTGGCCCTGCCAAGCTCCTTCCCAGGATGACTCCAAACAGGCTGTGATTTATCATATCATTCCTGCTTTTATTATGTTAGGGTTACTTTAGGTTTAGATGTTATTTGGTATGATTATGTAGGCAATTTTTTAGGTTGGAAACACTCAAATATTTTTCCGTCTAAATTAATGCTAATTGTTTCTATGCTTTGTACCATTTCATCTAAAAAAGTCTTCATAGAAGTGCTCTACTTTTGGATAGCAGGGAAAACCTGCACCTGGAGGGAGAGGGTGGCAGATGAGTCTCAGGCTGAGGTTTGGCAGTAGTGACAGGATGTTGAGAAAATACGATAGGAGGGGACAAGGAATGGGAAGCCTGCTTTATTACTTTCATTTTAAAAGACAGAAAAAAGAATCAGCAACATGAATGTGGGGAGGGGAATAAACCTCATTTATGGAATATTTAAAAATTGTCTTCGCGAGGGCCTCCCTGGTGGCACAAGGGGTTAATAAGCACATCACTGTGAAGCTATCCACCACCTCTGCAGCTTGAGTTCGATCCCCGGCTAGCCAGGGAGCAACCCACATGGTGCAGCAGACCTCTCCTGTCTCGCCCGCTACTCCCCTCAGCAGTGTATTTCAGTCAGTTTGTCTTTTCTGTTCCCCACTCTGTCTCTGGTGGATCCTTTCACCCCCCACACCTCTGGCCTGTACCCCGGTTCTTGCATGCATAAATCATCTTGTATGCATAAATCTTGTATGCATACAAGAACCGGGGTACAGGCCAGAGGTGCGGGGGGTGAGAGGATTTATGAGACAGAGTGGGGAGCAGAACAGACAGATTGACTGAAATCCACTGCTGAGGGGAGCAGCGGGCAAGTCAGGAGAGGTCTGCTGCGCCATGTGGGTTGCTCCTTGGATGGCCGGGGATCGAACTCGTGCTGCAGTGACTGTGGATAGCTTCATAGTGCTGTGCTTAACCACTTACGCCACCAGGGAGGCCCCTAAAAAAAATTATCTTCTAGCATACATATAGTAGCTAAACAGGTTTCCGGCTAGATTTTTGTGAGGAACTATTTTAATAACAGATAGTGACATATACCTTTAAGTGCAGTAATTTACGTGAGATGCAAGTTTCTAAGGTGTCTGCATCTGCAGAGTTCACCACAGTACCTCACAGTCTGACCCTGTGCATCACACAGGACATCACAGTCCCAAATAGCGGGTGAGCTGTGGACCTCAGGGGTCAAGAGGTCTAGGCCCTGGCTGGCCCCGCCTCCTCTCCCCACCAACCAGCCCCCTTACCAATGGCCCTGGAGACGGCCAGCGTCCCATTGACTCTCCAGCAGTCCATGTGACACACAAAGCCGCCCAGTGCTTCGATGCGCTCCTTCTCGTCCTGTGGGAGACAGTCAGAGGAAGAGACCAGGTGTGTGGCCAGAGAGACCAGCTGGTTTCCAAGACAGTGCTGGGAGTCATGGCTTATGAACGATGCCCAGATAAGGCATTAGTAAAGCAAAATATTATAAGCAACCTAAACGTCCTTCAGTGTGGCTAAACAGGTTATGGTACAAACCACCTGTGGCCACAAGGGCTGTGACCCAGAGCAACGTTTAGGGGTCAGGGAGATTCTCACAAGGCCCCAGAGTCAGAGTGCAGGTCCTGCAGTTGCCTCCCTGTTCAAACAGGGATATTATCCCTGCCTCACAAGGGGTTAGGAAAGTGAGATTTGTGGGATTTACATGGGATTTCTGCAGCCACTTGGCAAAGCTAAATGAAACCTGAACGAGACCCTGGTCTATACCGGTGCCCTGGGTCCTAGTTTGTTTTCAACTGTAAAGGACAATGGTGCTTTAGGCCTGAGAGGGTAGCACACAGGCCCAGTCTAGTCATGAGTACTCTAAAAACCTCTTTGGTCTATAAAGTCCCCCAGAGAAGAGGTTTTCTAGATGTGAACCTGAAGGGCATTAACAACAGCACCTGCTGATGGAGCAGACCCCACGGGGAGCACATCTACTCCACATCAGGAGGAAGGACCAGTGCTAGCCCTCTTTTTTCAGCTGTCCGCTTCACATGAACAGAGCAGAGCGAGATTTAAGCCTCTTGACACCACAGGACATACCCATGACCTCTGTCCTTACTCAGAGCTTCTTTCCAGCTCTCAGGGTGAAAGCAGCACGAGCCTGCTGGGCACCAGCTTTGTCAGCAGGATTTCCCCACGTGATGGGCATAGAGTCCACTGGACAGACTTGAATCAGTCCAGCCTCCTCTCGGTGGTACCACCAACACAGGCCCTTTTGCCAAGAGAGATGGTAGCTATGCAGATACAGAGGCCCCTCCGGAGAGAGCACAGTTTTGAAGGAGCCCTGACCTGCCTGCGTGGCTCCTTCTGGGTCTGAGAACCCACTGTGGTCTGAGCAGTAGCAGAGGAAGGCAAGGACGGAGGGGAAGACAGGTTGAGAAGAGTGAAGGGAGAGACGGGCAGACATGTATGCACGAGTCTGCAGACCAGAAGGGAGCTGCAGAGGAGAGCAACCTCTGGACCCTTGCCTGGACCTCCTACCCCTCAGAGGCCTTCCTTTGGGAAGGGAGTATGGGAGGCTTCCCTGAGCCCCAAAGGCATTGTCTGCTTATGTCTGTGGGAAGATACAGCTGAGAATGAGACTTTCTCTTGCTTCTGTCACCCACCAGCGCCAGGCCACCCCCCTACTCAATGTTAATGAGGCAGGGACAGTGGGCAGTGGTAACTGAGAGTAAACTGTGAGCTGCTCCTGGGGAGCATGGACCCTCCCGAGGGACGATCAGTGGGGACTGGTGCCACCTGGCACTTGGGATCCCACAGAGGTCAAGGAGCCAGGCACCTGGGCTTCCAAGTCGGCAGTGGTTATCAGGTTGAGCAGAAGGGCAGGAGGGCCCTGGAGCCTATGGCCCTAGGTAATCCTACGCCAGCAACTAATGGCAGCTCTGCCCAACAGACCAGTTCTATCTCACAGGGCCAGCTGGCTGCAGGGCTCTCAATCACAATGCCTTCCCTCACAATGCCTGCCCCACTTTGGTGCTCTCCCTGTACCTTACCCTCTGCCCTCTTCTGTCATCATCCTGGATCCAGGACTAGGGCATCCTGGGGTTCAGGGCACCCCCATCTTTCCCTCCTGACTCCTTGGACACCTATCTCCTCAACTGCCCTTCGATCTCTTCTTCTCCAGGTGCTCCAAGGTCAAGTCCAGAGCTGTTGTTTAGTAGGTCCCCCCAATAGCCATTTCCCACCTGCCCTGGAGTGTGGATCTGCTCAGCAAAGCCCTCTGTCTCCGATTCTGCTGCGGTCTCCCTGAACAGTCATTTCCTCCCACCTGTCATCCTATCCTGGACCCAGTGACCCCTCAGCGCTGTATTTGGTCATTCCCGTCCCTCCCCACTTGGGTTTTCCATCACGCTGTGCTCTTCTGGCTTCTGCCTCACTTCTGGTAGGACTCACACGCTCCCTAGCCCTGCCCATCTCCACAGAGCTTCCCATTAGCCTATCCAAGCCCTGCATACATGGAGAACACTCACCTCATCCTCCCTGGCCCCTGGCTGACTGCATCACGAGGCACTTGGATGCGCTTTCCACTTCCAAAGCCCGAACTCTCTCCTCCCTTCTCTGTCTCTCCTGGTACCGCCTTGCCAGGCAGTCATCCCACAGCTTTCCAGGTGAGTGCAGGGGCCTCTTTTATGACCAGCCCTCATTTTGCCCTCTGATGCCTTTGGAAGCTTTAGCAACTCCTTATTAAGTTCCTGCTGCCAGAGGAACAACATGCCATAAGGCTCTCAAGGACCAGTCCTGGCTTAATCTGCCCTTTCTTCCCAGACTCTATCCCTGGTTCGCTGGGGTCCCACCTGCCCTCAGGATCTCACTCCAGTTCTCCTTCCCATTCACCTCCCTCTTCTGCCTCTCCCAGCACTATGGCCTACAATGCAGCTCTCACCTGCCCATTAGACTGAGAGGAACTGGACAGCTCACTGCCTTGTCCTGCAGAGTCCTGCACTGAGCAGGATTAAATGTTTACGGCCCTGGAGTAAATCCAGCAGCAGGAGAAACTTGTTCAGACACTGCAGAACAAGGCAGAGTGACACGAGTCCCTGCATCCTCCTTAGAGCTGGTATCGGCAGCTGCCAGACCCTCACCAGGTCATTACCAGTTTCTACTATAAGCTAACATGGTGATGGCCATTCTTGTGGGAGAACCTCTATTATCTCTCTACATGGGTGTCAGGCTGAGGTCAGGATCAGAGGGTGAGGGACAGAAGCAGTGGCTTGCTCAGCTGGGAACAGGAGGCAGGAGCCTGGATGAAGCTGGGTTCTAGTCTCTGCAGTTGTGTGGGGTGCAGAATTCTGAGAAGACAGACGGACCTTGCTTCTCAGTTGTTTCAGGTACTTGTGTGCACCAGACCACTAATTCTACATTTTGGTGACCCCATTTCACAGAAAAGGTACTCATGGCTGGGGAGGGGTAGAGCCAGGAAAAGTGCTGCTGCCAGTGCACGCTCTTTGCCACAGTGCCATGATATAAGGTTCAGGCAGTGCTTGGAAGACACCCTCTGGAAAAAGCCTCCAGGGGGCCCCAGAAGAGACACAGGACACAGAGAGCTTGTAGGGGTACGGGCAGATAGGTGGGAGTAGATGTGGCACCTTGATCTAGGTTTGCATCTAGTCCTAACTGAGGCTGCATTTCATCTGCAAGCAGGGTATCTTGGGACAGGAGGGCTGAATGTCCCTAAGCCGCATTCTAGGATACCAGTTGCTTTCTGGCAATATGCTCTGGGCGAGTTGCTTAACCTCTGTGAACCTAAGTTCTCTCCTCTGCACAATGTGGAGCGTGGAAGCTGGCTCAGCACAGGTTGAGACGCAGGGAGGCAGGGGAACCCTGCATATCACAGCCTAATAGTCCCTGTAGTGCTTTTCATATCTTGAAGCCACCAAAGAAAAAGACAGCTCCATCCATAAAAAACATGTCTATGTGGCAAAAAACCAAAACAAAACCATAAACAAAGACAAAAGAGAAATGGCTTGGGGGATGATTTGCAAATCACTGAATGACAAGGTGCCAACCTCCCTCATATATACAAGATGCCTACAAACTGTTAAGAGCCACAGCTCCTGAGAAAAATGGACAAAGGTTAGGGGTGGAGCCTCCTTGGGAAAGGCAAAAGCAAATGATCGCAGCCTTTGAAAAGATGCTCAGCCTTTCTCTGAAAGAGAAGTGCAGCTAAAAAACTACCTCTCACTTTTCCTAGGTACAGGACCCAGCAGTTTGGGGGACTGTGGAGGAAATAGACTGCCTGGGACTCATAGTGCCAGAATGGCACAACTTGAGAGGGACAGTTTGGCAAATCTGCCTACTGCAAACATGTACACTCTGACCCAGCTGCCTTCCATCTAGGAATGTGCTCTACAGGCGTACTTGACCCCGAACAATGGAAGGCGGCACCCAAGTTATTTATTGCTGCAGTATGAGAAGACTGAAAAACCCTCAACGTCCACTGATGAGAGAGACCGGGAATGCACGAACTGCAGACACCTGCACCGGATGGAGTGCCTGAGTGCTGACGTGGAATACCCACATGACGCATGGACAGGTGAAAACAGCAGGTGCAGGCAGCAGGAGGGGACTACGGTGGGGTGGGGGAGTATTTGAACACTCCCTGATGTGCAAACTCTCTTGCTAACCCCATGAGGAGACAGACAGACCGATAATCCTGTGAGATATGGTCTGAACAAGAATGTTGTCTTGCTGCCCAGGTGAGGAACCTGGTCTCAGACAGGTGAGTAACCTCAGAATCCTAGCATAGCCTCTGCCCAACGAAGCTTCAAGGCTGGTTCCTTCCAGACCTGGCTCATGTCACTTCGTCCCTGAAGCTCTCCTCCCTCATAGCCCAAGTGGTGTGGCTGCTTCCTGCCCACAGGCATGACAGGAGGACACATGTTGACCCATTTCCTGGGTTATCTGATGCGTAGAGGGTCCAGCTCTCCCCTGGAGCTCTGAGCTCTGTGTTGTGTGATACAGAGTCATTTGGAATCCTGACTGTTAATGTCTATAAGACCTAGCCTTTAGGAGATTCCCTGATTACTGGAGTGGGGAAGGAGAGCTCTCCCTTGGAAGGAGAGCCATGGGTTTCCTGGGAAGATGGTCCACTACCCCTTTTTTTTTTTTTTTTTTTTTTCCCACTACCCCTTTTACTTGTTAATCCATTCCAGCCCCTTTGGCCAGGGCATCCTGACCGTGTGCTTTCCTGGATGGGCCTATATGGGGGGGGGGGGGACGGGACAACCCAAGCATGGAGCCCTCACCTGTCGCTCTGGTTTGTGTGGCTCCATCAGCTTCACCACCTGTCCTTGCTGCACCAGGATGATCTGGGAGTCCCCGAGCCAGGCGACGTGCAGGGTCTTTCCTGCAATCAGTGCACACACACCTGTGGTGCCGCTCTGCAGACGCTGCAGCGAGAGATGGCTGTGAGGGGAAGGGGGCCTGCACTACAGGGACATGCTCGTCCAGACCCAATGACACCTGTGCCATTCCATCCTTTGGAGTCATGCTTTCCCCTCTCTCTCCTGACTGACCCAGGTCTCTCCTTGTGTGCCCCCACATGGCGTGGTGTGCCCCCACCTCTTGGGAACTGTGAGTAATAAGCTCCTCTTTCAAGCTAGCTGTTTCTGTGTCTGTGAACTTACCATATCTGATTGAAACAAAATCCTGGGCACATTTTAAGAGTCTCATGCGCTACTGACTGAGCTAGCAGGGCAGTTGCCCCTGGGCACATTTGCAAACAGGCTAGCTGCCACTGTGAGGCCTCGCACCCTCTGCTCTGGGGCAGGTCCAGGCTGCTGTGGCCTTCTGGATCAGAGGTAAGCTTTATGATGCTTCTGTTCAAATAAAGCACAAGCCCTCTTTTCCTGTACAGATGAAATGACACGATTGCAGTGTTTAGGGGGAACCTCCCAGCACCCCCAGCTATTTTGATCCTCTTCCCTCTGCAGGGCTGGGGCCTCTCTGATGCTAATGGTCCCAAAACCATACAGGTAGGCCTTGCTGTTGGTTCTCACCTCTCGCTTGGCTTTCCAGAGAAACATCTCATCAGTGTGCTGGAAGGCATTTCTGAGGGCTGTCTTGGGGTCGGTGGGCAGCTCCGGCTGGTGGGCAGCGTTGACGTGCACGTGCACAGCAGCATACCTCGCGGCATCCACCCCTCCGTGACCGTCAAACACAGCAAAGTAGGCGCGGTCCACAGGGTCCTGGCAGGGAATGCAGTGGGAGTCACCGACCTGCTGGCCTCAAGCCGGATGGAGGTCACGACCTGGTAAAGGCACCTGACTGGGGCTCAGTAATCATAAGTTTGGGGGTTCCCTTTATAAGACTTGCGCAAACCATTTCCTTTCTTCAGTTCCTTAGCTGGGAGAGCAAGCTGGCTGTGGCTGCCCTTGCCCAGAAGTGCTGGGGCAATTAATTGGGCCCCCCAGCTGCCCTTCTCCCGGGAAGAGCTCTGAGAGCAGTTCAGCACCTCTGCCTGCAGACAGCAGTCGTGGGCATTTCTCCTGCAGTGGCTTTGGTTGGCAGCTCTGTTCAGCGGCAGGGGGCTCTTTCCCCTGCACAAGTCCCCACAGGCTGTCCTGACTAGGGACACTGGCCTCATGGGAAGCCTTGGCGCCAAGATGTGGAACACTAGAGGTGGAACACTCACAGAAAGTCCGAAGAGCTGGTTGAATGCTGGCAGGCACACATGCCGGTCCTCCATCTTGCGGCGAGAGTTCCGGATGGCATGGATGGAGACCAGCCACTGCCGCTGTTGTCCCCGGGCAGACACCGGCACCTGCTTCTGCCACTGACCACATACTTCCCAGAGCTGGTTAAAGAAACTCAGTGCCAGGCCTTTGGCATCTAGCACTGATGAGCATGATGGAGGAATAATTAGAGAAGCGCCAATGGAGGCGAGCTGAAGCTCCACTTCTTTCCCTGCCCCCATTTCTGCCGCCCCTGCAGCACCTAGACATAGGCCTGCACAAGCCCCAACAGCCCATCACCCTCAGGGCATTCTGAGAGTACCATCCTAATAAACTCTGCATGACAGTCTGTGTCATCAGCGGTTAGAAATGTCTGGTTTGGCATTACATACCAGGAGCCTCCCGCCCTATGGTGGAGCAATTCCATTCTGGAGAGCCCATCAAAGAAATTGTGAGAACTGCCAGAATAATTTAAGGTCAAACTATATAATCATTTGTAATTGTGCATTAATTAAAAACAATGTATATCCAATGACAAGGTAAAATATGGTTCATTCTCTTGATTAAGAATTAAACTGATTTTTGTAATGAAACATGCAACTGCCATATGACCCAGCAAATGTAACCTTGGACATTTATCCCAGAGAATTAAGACTATTCACACAAAAACCCGTGCACGAATGTTCACAGCAATGGCGTCTGTAACAACTGAAAACTAGGATTGGCCCAGGTGAATGGTTAAACAAACTGTGGTCTGTCTGCCACAGATTACTACTCAGCAAAGAAAAGGAGACACTGATACACACAGGAGCCTGGATAAACCTCCAGGGAACCATGCTGAGTGAGAAAGGCCAATCCCTGTGGAGATGAGCCCCTGTTACCAGCCCCCCTCCACTGCCCCCCCCCACTCCCAGGCAAACACACCCTTGCATTCTTGAAAATATACAGTTATAGAAATGGAGATTAGCAGTTGTCAGGGGTTAGGGATGGAGGACTAGAGCAGCCTTGAGGGGTAACAAGAGGGTTCTGAGTGGGAAGGTGCAGTTCTGTATCTTGACTACAGGATCTTGGTCGTGATAGTTACTACAGTTCTGTAAAACGTTACAGTCAGGGGAAAGCTGGGATGTGTGGGATCTCTGTGTTATTTCTTACAATTGTGTGTCAGGCTACAATTATCTCAAAATAAAGTTTATTAAAATAACTAAAGGGTAAAACAAAAAAGGACATTTACAGAGTTTGTAATCATGTAAAGGGCTTATGTCGTGGTGTTAAGAAAAAACATTGATATTAAAATGTCATGAATAGAGGATAGAAAATTCCATGTACAATTTGATCTTGAGGACAAGAAAAAGCCTTCAACCACTTGGATGCCCAAATTAAAAGGACAGGCAACCAAAACATCAGCAGTGCAGTCTGCAGGTGGCAGTTCCAGGAGCAATGTTTTTGTCTTAAGCGCACTTTTTCCATACTTGCCCAATTTGCCATTACCAGTGTTGGCCCCAGATGATGGCTTTAAAATATATCCATAATTGGGCCTCCCTGGTGGCACAACGGGTTAAGCACAGCACCGTGAAGGTATCTATAGCCTCTATAGCACGAGTTCGATCCCTGGCCAGTCAGGGAGCTACCCACATGGCACAGCAGACCTCTCCTGCCTCGCCCACTGCTCCCCTCAGCAGTGTATTCCAGTCAGTCTGCCTGTTCTGTCCCTCACTCTGTCTCTGGTGAATCTTCTCACTCCCGCCCCGTGCCTCTGGCCTATACCCCAGTTCTTATATGCATAAATAAATAAATCTTAAAAAAAAAATATCCATAAATTCTTTGCTACTTCTTTCCCTTTCAAGCAGTGGGTTCCAATTCCCTGCCCTTGAGTGGAGGACTTAGGAACCTGCTTCTGATAAGTAGAATAAAACATAAGTGATTCAGAATGACTTAAGCCATGATCCTGAAAAGGTGCTGTGGCTTCCCTTTCCCTCTCTCCCTCATAACTCACTGGCTCAGAGAAGTGAGGGGCTGAGCTATGAGGACTGCCCGGTGGACAGTCCACAGGGCAAGGAACTGAGGCTGCTGCTCCACTCCAGTCGCCTTCATCTGACAAAACTTTATGAGAGAGTCTGGGCCAGAACCATTCGCTCAGCTGCTTCCAAATTCCAGCCCCACAGAGACCATCTGGGATAATATAATGTTTACTATTCTACACCACTAAAGTTTGAGGCAATTTGTTATTCAGAAATAGGTAATATATCCTATTATACAAATAACACTAATTTTAAAAGAAAAAGCCAAATTCTATCTAGGCCTGGCTTCTAAAGAGAAGATAAATAAGAAATAGGCTCAAAGGAAAGGCCATGTGCCTTGCCTCAGAGGTTCCGCTCAATTCAATGCACAACCCCCTCCAGGAAGTCCTGCCAGCCCACATGCATGCAGTGGGTACAGGTGAGCCAGGGGCAGTCACCTCGAAGTGGGGCTCAGGGGGAAGTAAGTTAGAACAGGGTGGAGTCTGAGGACCATGGTAGGTCACATCAGAAGAACTCTGGGAGTTGTAGATGGAAGAGTTCATGTCTAAAGGTGATGGCTGCAGGAGAAAGGCCAAGGCCAGAGAAGGCACAGAGGGTTCTGTGAGCCCAGGAGGTCACAGGAAGACAGGCTGAGGGACCCATGCATCAGGGAAGGGAGTCTAGAAGTGGCCACCATCACCACACCCAGGACACAGGGGAAATCCAGGTGTTTGGTAAGAACTAGGGGTCTTGGGCCTCCCTGGTGGCGCAAGGGGTTAAGTCTCAGCACTATGAAGCTATCCACAGCCACTGCAGCAAGAGTTTGATCCCCAGCCAGGGAGCTACCCACATGGTGCAGCAGATCTCTCCTGACTTGCCCGCTGCTCCCCTCAGCAGTGTATTTCAGCCAAACCACCTGTTCTGTTCCTCACTCTGTCTCTGGCGAATCCTCTCACCCTTGACACCTCTGGCCTACACCCTAGTTCTTGTATGCATAAATAAATAAATCTTTAAAAAAAAAAAAAAAAAACTGGGGGACTGGCATGACCAGCTTAAAGGGTTGTTTGTGTATGTGGGAAGGCCCAGCTCAGGGAAGACAGGTCCACGTGTGCTTGGCCCAGCAGGCCCCCTACCAACAAGTCAGAGACCTCTCATTCAGCTGGTCCATGTGATGCAGCCCTGTAGCTGCCTCTTTCTCCCCTAGGCCTGTGGCTGTGCTCAGAGCACCATGGTTCCTGCCCCCTCCCTCTGGAAAACAGCCTCTGCGCTCCTATCAAGTCTAAAATACCCAGGGAGGTGCACATTATTCTCTTGCCTTAGGCTGTGCTGCTATTTCCATCAACGTGTTTAAATTTGAATCTCTGCTCCAGCAACGGGTAATTACCAATGAGAACGATCAGCAGGAGGGGTGATCGCCAGCTGACAGACTCCACATGCTGCTTACAGCAGATGCCTGTTTTCCTGGCTGTGGGCCGCATCCCAGTGCCTCCAGAAACTGTTCAGTGTGGAGGGGGCCAGCTGGTGGCTCCATCTGACCTGACCACACAAAGATCTTAGTCACCTTCGCACATGCAAAGGTGGTGATTCTTACAATGCCCACTGTGATGTCGATTTTTCAAGAATGGCTTCAAGATAACAGCTCTAACTATATCCCACTCTCATGAGAGGGATAAGCTGGTCAATGCTGAGAGCCAGGCTGCAGGGAGGGCAGGGGCAAGCTGATTTCCTCTCACCCACCCTGCCCTCTTTCACAGGCAGCATAAGGGGGTGTCAACCCCTGCACTGCTCCTTCTCACCAGCAGGTGGTGCTCATTTCCTGCAGGGATGGGTGTGCATGGAGGGTGTGTCTCCTTTGTGGGATCCCAGAGCTTGAAGACTTTGCAGAGGACAATAGCTGCCTGTCTCTGTGCAGGGCTGTCTCTGCGCCTTCCAGGCGAAAATGAAGGCAGGAAGTCAGGGAAAAGGACAGGAGAAAGGATGAGAGGCAATTACTGCAGAAAGAGGCCATATGCTTTTCTTCTTTTCCCCACTCGTTCTTCCCTTTGTCCCCAGTGACTTCACTAATGAAGAGTTTAAATAGATGATAATTATGCAATATGATGGAGGTTTTGGCTAGTTACCATGGTAATCATATTAAGTATATAAATGGATCAACACATGTATACTCTGAAGTGATACATTTATACATCAATTATATCTCAAAAAATAGGAAAACAGTCCAGTTGGGTAGAACAAGGCAAAGGGAAATCCACTCTGAGGCTCCCACTGCAACGTGAGCTGCCCCTTTCGCCAGCAGCATGGCAGGAGTGATCACCTGCTCCCTGCTGTTCCTAGCCTGGCCAAACAGGGCCCAGGCCCAGTGACTTGCTTTCTCTGCAAGTCTGGTCCAATAAGAACTGACATTTTAGTGAAAAACAATAGAAAAGAATCACTAGGGATGTGAAAAAAAAAACTCTGTAAGTACATATCTTCCTTTACAGAGGAAAGGTGAGGTTCCATATTCTCTAATGAAGGATGGAGCTGAATAACCAGGAAAACAGGCAAAAAATCTGGAAGAGAAGGGCCTCCCTTGTGGCGCAAGGGGTTAAGCACAGCACCATGTAGCTATCCGCAGCCTCTGCAGCACGAGTTCGCTCCCTGGCTCGCGCCTCTGGCCTGTACCCCAGTTCTTGTATGTATAAATAAATAAATCTTTAAAAAAATTTTGGAAGAAAAGAATAGGAAGAACACACAGGAGGGGAGACAGGTGGAGCAGAAACACATGAAGGAGGGCATGCTTGCTTCTCAGCCTTGGACTCGTACCAGGGACTTGGGGGACATGGAAGGAGAAACATGGGTGAGAAACCCATGGGCAGGCTGACAATGGCAGCCTGTATCTTGGTTATACTTTGATTTTGTTCCTTTTATCCTAGACTTGCCAGGTCCCTTCTGCCTCTGTCCTGGGGTTCCTCGCCAGGAGGTGCCTCAGACTTGTGGCAAGTTTTCAGGCCCCACTTGGGCCAACCCTGCTTGGCTGGGCTTTTCCCCACAAGGGGAGGGTAACTGGGTGTTTTACTGGGAAACTATTATCCTTTCTTCTCTCTCTATGCACACTAAGTCTATTAAAGTTCTTAGTCTTTATGTGGCAGATGATAGACACACTTCAGAGTGTGCAGGTCTGAGGGTCCCAGGGTACCCTCCCCCCCGCCTGCCTGCTAACAATAAGAGCCCTGTTTTTTTCTTTATGACAAGGCTCACTCCTGTTTTTGAGTTCCTTGGGCCCTGTGGCACGACTTGGATCCCCCCTGCTTGACCACTATCCCAGAAGCAGGCTGAAGGACCAGGTTCCACTGCCACTGCCTCACCACACTCTCCTGATACCACTGAGAGTCTCCGCCCGACCAGGCCCCATCTCAGGCCAGCTGAGGCAACAACCCCACCAAGCTCCAGCATTTTTTACCAGTAAGACCCCAAGGTGGGGAACCTGCTCACACCTTACTCTCCTAACTCCCACCTCACCATCAGGTGAGGCAGGCTGACACAAAGGGCAGGTGAGTGGGGTGAGCTGGTGCCTCGCTGTTCTCCATGTAAAGCGGGACAAGCACTACTGCTCAGCCATTCAGTGGGAGGGTCACTGAGCCCTCTTGCCAACTTCAAACTGGTGTGATGCTTTCATTCAATCTTGATTTTGTCACTCTGTGGTCAGCCAGGGCACCTGGCGCTGCTCCTTGGCAGCCCTCACTCAGTGCTACCCTCCACTGCCCTCCCAACAAAATGGAGAGGCCCCGGGAACCCTGCTGTCTCCCACACTGGCACTCCCTGCCCCTGTCCATGTCTGTCACCTGCTAAACATAGGTGCCCTGAGAGGGAGAACTCACGGGTCACGGGGGCCTTCTTCTCTTCCTCATCATCGTCATCCTCTTCCTCCTGCCTGGGCAACTTCCTGAATTTGGAAAGGTCTGTCTGCAGCAGCTGGGACACCGCCTCACAGGCCAGAGATGAAGCAAGCGGTGGTGGCACGTTTCTGGGGATGGAAATAAGAAGAGAGGTGGGGCTGGCTCCGCCGCAGAAGCCACCACTCCAGCACACACCCAAGTGCTCCAGATGGAGACCTGGCCCCCTTTCTGCTCAGGAAGAGCCTTCTAGAGTAGCATTACGTGTTTATGACCTCTGGTGGGGTCACTATGAGCGGGTCAGCCTGCAGGCCACAGGGAATGGGATATTGGCAAAATGCCCTTTGTGTGGGCCTGCTCTGCACCAAATGGGGACTGAGTGGCTGGGGAGGGGTTGTCACAGGTGTATGAGCTGTGTCCACTGGCTTTGGTGGCCAGGTAAACTGCCCAATATCTAACTTTATCTCCCAGGGTTTGGAGAGGCTTATGGATTGACTTGTGTCTCCCCAAATTCATATGTTGAACTTCTAACTCCACCCCCCACCAATGCCTCAGAATGTACCTTATTTGGAAAAAAGGTGGTTACAGATGTAATTAGTTAAGCTGAGGTGACACAGGGGTTAGGGTGGGCCCTTAGTCCAATGATATTGGTATTTTTTTCCGAAGGGGAAATTTTCTACACACATGCAGGGGGAATGCTGTGCAAAGATGAAATCACACACTGGGGCAATGAGTCTGAAAGCCAAGGACGGCCAGCAACCACCACATGGAACCAGCTTTGCCAACATACTGACCCTGAACTTGGAGCCTCCAGAAGCCTGAGACAATACATATCTATTGTTTATGTCCCCCAGGCTGTGGAATCCAGGGATCGTGGGAGCTCAGGCTGCATTTGGAAGGCTGGGTCATGACAGCCAGAGTGTCCAGCAAGAGGATCCAGCTGTGCTTCATCTGTGGGATCCTGGGGCTAAGACCCCAAGGCAGTTGGCACAAGGGAGGATAGGGAAGAGGAGTCAGGTGCTAGGGCAGTGGGAGCCATGACTTTAGTGTGTTTTGAAGAGGGATGTGTGTGAAGGGGATGGAGAGTGTAGGCCTCTCTGGCCTTGACATACAGGGTGGACTTAAGGGTAAATGCTGGGGTAGTGGGCAAAGCCCAAGTTGGGCAGGGCCTGGCTAAGGACAGGAGGGGACAGAGCCAGTGGGGGCAGGGGGTAGGCATGGGCTCTGTGTTGGCAGTGAGGCCCAGGTTCCTCCAGAGTTTGGAGGCTGGGGTCAGTGGGAACAATGGGGGCCGGGGGAGGGGTGCAGGGCTGCAGGAGCTTACCCAGGAGGGAATCAGTGGCACGGCAGCTAGCAGTCAGGGGTCAGGAGCAACTGGAGAAGTGGGTGTCAAATGGGAAATTACAGGGGCCATGGAGGAACAATTCCAGAAATTGAGACTCAGTTAGCATCTTTTTATGCCACAGACAGGTTGCCTACCACTGAGCCCCAGGGTCAGCACAGCAAATGGAGGGGAGAGAACGGGAATCTCAGCACAGAAGATGAGGGAGAGGTGGCAGAGCCTGACCAGAGCAACTGAGGCTAGCTCTGGCAAGGCCAGTGGTGAAGGCTGTTGGAAATTCTGCGACACATGCACCTTTCCATGGGCTCCGGCCCTGTCTGCTCAGCCCCCCAGCCTTGGGAACCAGCTCCCTACTTCGTCTAGGACTAATCCTGACCCTGGAATCTGCCCCCACCCAGTGGTAGCCCCCAGGAGGTCAGAGGACCTGTGTTCATCCCCAGGTCTATGGAAGAGCAGGGCCAGCGCCCAATGAGTCTGACAGTGAGTCTGTCTGAGATCCCCCTGAGAGTGGTATCTCCCAACCACCCCAGCCCAACGGAGCACATCCCTTTGGGGCTGGGCATCCACAGTGTCTACTGATGGTCTTAGGAATCCACCAGGATGAATGAGTGATTTTCACAAATGAGAAGGTGACTCAGGGGGCCCAGCTAAACCTCTAGATCTGCCTTTGAAAAACAACCAGCCAAGGCATGAGAAATGAGTTCCTGTGCTATTTGGGGATTTCCTGCCAACCAAGGTTTTCCTTTTTCACAGCTGGGAGCAGGGGTGTCTGTTCCCCTGCATCCCTGTGAGGTCATGCCACAGTTTCCTGCATGACTGCCAGTGTTGCTGGAGGCAGGAAGGCAACTTCCAGTTGGGACAATGCCTGGCTGGGGGCCAGGGCCTCACTTCCTGTGCCCCACCCACCTTACCCAGGGTCCCGTCTGATTCACTGGGTCAGGCCTGCCTTAGCGTGTGGAAGGTGTGCGCCAAGGCCCAGGTGCCTGAGAAAAGGCCAGTTATGTCCATCTCAGGGTTTTCAAGGGGTTTATAGTCTAGCAGCAGAGCAGAAAATGTACATAAGTAACTATAGTGTGAGGGGTGTACTGCTTGGGGACCTCAGTGTCAGCTGTGACACTAACAACCAGGGGAAGACAGGTCCGTGTAAAGGTCCATGCCCTTGAGTTGGGCAGTCTGACCTCTAGACACTTTCCTGAAGGATGTCACTTAAAATCTGAAATCCCCTATATGGACCAACATGCTGGCTTTGGACCCAGGAGGGAGCAGGGCAGATGGGAGCCCATGGAAATGTGCATGTGGAGTGCTCAGATGAGGCATGGAGGCCCCAAAGTGTGACCACAGTGTGAACATCCATGTCTACATAGGAAAGAAATACTAGAAAAGTACAATAGCTGAAAATAAATCCACTAGGATGGCTGGAAAATGTCTTTAAAAAGATTACATTTTAAGGTGCTTTAAGGTAGACTCACAGGGGGACCTAAGGCACCTGTAGAGAGCTTTGTAAAGGCTTGCACTGCCCTTTTCAGCCTAGACCCTGTGGGACTGTGACCTCCCTCCCCCTTCCCATGGAAAATGGCATCAGGTCTCGTCATCCCTTGTTAACCTGTTCAATGCCTGTACCTGGGGTCTGCTGTCCTCCTCCTGCTCTCTACCCGCCCTCTCTGCCTTCCTGCTGTCAGGAGGACCCGCTCCTCCTCAAACAAGTTCTGGTTTTCCCTACATTTAGCTTGAAATTATCTTCCTCCATCAGAGCTAAAACATGCTCCCTGCCAAGGCTCTGTGCCCCTCAGATGGAGCCCTGACTGCTGCAGCTCAGCCCACCCTCCTCTTCCTCACCTCTCCCATTTTCACTGCTGGAAGCAAAACCAGCCCCTGCCCTGGATCCCTCCCCTGTGCCCTCTCCCCTGGGCACTAACCACTCACACTGGAGCCACTGAGGCCTGGCCCGCCTCTCATTCTGTGCTGTTGCCAGAGGCCCAGCTAACAGGGACCCTGACATCACTCTGGACAGCTTTCCTGTGTCTTCTCCCTGGTCATTACCTCTTCATGCTTCCATCACTGCGTTCCCTCACTCTCCGCAGGCCCCAGGCTCACAGGCAAGGGGCAGGTACACCCATCCTCCTAGGTCCTTCCTCCCTCAGCCCTGAGTCCCCCTAGAAGGCCCAGTGGTTGCAGGAGAAACACAGGGTGCCCTGTGTCCCTCACTGTCCCTTCTCTCCTCTGAGTGCAGACATTGCCTGTGGCTGGCTCCCTGTCCTCCTTCCCTTCCAGCTCTCAGCTTCTGAAGCTCTTCCCTCACCTCTCTTGCACACAACCACCCAGTACCTGCGACATGGTATCACTTGGCCCCGGGTCCACTGGGCTACAGTGACTTGTTTTATGTCACCTGTCTATGAAATAGTACTCAAAGGCCTTCATGCTCACTGACGTGGGCTTTCATAGAATGAGAGTGTGGTTGTGACTCTGCTGAGGCCTCAGGGTCCTGCCAAACAGGTCCTCGGGGGTGTGTGGGGATGGAGCTCACCTGCCATAAAGGAAGCACACTAGAGGGTCACACCAAGGCCTGGGTTGGGGAGGGTGGGGTAGAGGGAGAGTGGAGGTCCTTGACTTCAGGTGATGTGGTGACAAGAAACCATGGATGTGGTCCCTTGGGGAGGGATGTGGGTCACACGTGGAGGCTCTGTGGCTCACCAGCTGGCAATGCTGCCAGTCTCCCTGCATTGCAGGCATATCACTCTTCATCTGCCCTGAAAGGTTCTGAGCTGATCATGCCCTATTCTGTGCATTAGCTTCCTCACCTGAATACAGGGAGACTATCACCCCTCTTGGGTGGCCAGGGGACAGCAGGTCTGTGCACTGTGCACACAGCCTGGCCCTGCCACACCCCGAGCCTGAGGCCTCCATCCCTCCCTCAACCTATGTGGTCTCTGCCTCCCTGTCTGTGACACAGGATAGAAAAGGTGAATTGATGTGTTGAGATCCTACCCTGCAGTGGCTCAGTGTGACCTGATTTAGAATTAGGTTTTGTGGAAAAAAAAAAAAAAATTAGGTTTTGTGGGGTTAAGATGAGGATATACTGGATCAGAGTTAGCCCCATATCCAATAGGACTGGCATCCTATTGGATGCCAGACACACAGACAGGGAAAGAAACACGTGGAGACACAGGCACACAGGAGCACACCACAGGCAAGGAAAGCCAGAGTGGGCAAATGTGCCTACAGGGGAAGGACAAGAAAGACTGCTGGCAGTACCCAGAGCTAAGGGAAGGCCTTGAGATGTTCCTTGATCATCTTTGAAAGAGGTGAAACCTTTCTGACACCCTGATCCATGAAACAATACACTTCCATTGTTCTGGGCCACCCAGTCTGTGGTTCTTTGTTACAGCTGCCCTGGGAAAGCAATACAGCACTGTCACTGGGATTTGTGCAGGTAACACATTTGGCCCATGGGGGGTAAAGGCAGCCACGGTTTAGGTTGGCATGTGGCATATGCCTTGTCCCTCTCTCCTGTCTGGTGCTGCCCCCGCCCAGCAAGTGCATGGCCTACCTGCCACCCAGGAAGCCCAATGCCAGGTCAATCAGCTCGCCTTCCACCTCCTCCTGGCTCAGGGTCATCCCTGGGACCTTCCATGGCAAAGGGCTCTCCGGGCTGAGGGGGGCTGGGAAGTCACGGAGAATTGCGTCTAGGAAGCCTGGCGTCTCCTCTGCCATCTGGCTGCTCTGCTGTGGGGCTCCAGAGGCCATGCTCAGGGCATCCCAAGGGGCCTGCTGCTGGTTCCAGTCTTCACTCTGGGGAGAGACATAAGGGTTAGCAAAACATAGGGAAAGCCAGGTTCTGCTCTTGGGATAACTGTGCCCTTGCTGCCATTCTGAGGGCACCATGCCTCACTGTCTCTCCTTCTTTCCTTTACCGCCAAGCATCTTGAGGTAGGTGGTGCACCAAGACAGGGCCTCAAGGTGGAATGGCAAGACTGTCTGGCTTCACACATAGTTCAGGAAAGCCAGAGAAAGAGCCCTGGCTGTTATCCTGAGGCCAGTTCAAGAGAAGTCCACTACTTAGGAGCTGGAGCTGAGGCTGCACGGGTGTCTTGAAGAAGTGACAGAGAAGCTGTGCCCCTATAGCCAGTGTGACCAGAGGTGGGCAGGAGGGAACTGGAGGGCCAGGTCACTAAGGCAGGGAACATGGCAGGTGAAGGGATTCAACCTAAACTTGGGACCTGGTAGCCAGGACATGGGGAAGTAACGCCATCAGGTCCATGACCCAGAAGTGGTTCCAAAAGGGGAGAAGGAAGGGATGCCTGTTGGAGGAAGTTAAGGGAAGGGTTCAGACAGGACGGTGGCAGGGCCCACATGCCAGAGAGATGTCTCACAGGCTTCACTAACATCCAGGCTGGGGAACTTTCTTTGGGAATGAATCCTGCAAGTTTAGTCTCCTGGAAATAAAACAGTGCTCCTTGACTTGAGAATTCAAGCAGCACCTCAAGTTTTAGGAGAAGAATTTTGGGAGTGGTTTCAAAGTCCATCCCCTCCCTGAGGCCTTCCAGGTTCTGATGAGTGAATAGAGAGGGCAGGACCATAGGAGAGAATCTTCCGGAATCCAGTCTTAGAATATTTACAGACCATGTCTCCAAACTTTGCCAAACCCTGCATACAGGTTTGAGGTGGGAAGATGAAGTAATGAACACAGCCAGGGGGAGGACTGTCCTTCTCAGAAGTTACTGCCATCACATAATAGAGAAGAATAAACATGAGAAACACCAGCATGAGAACAGAGGAACAAAATCGCATTATAACCACAAGGGTATGACTGAAACTGAGAGATCAGAAAAAGCAGACAGCTCTGTGGGAGTGATGGGGGTCAACTGAGGAGAAGGGAGGCCGGCCAGGACAGTGCCTGCAGAGCTGCAGAGCCTGAGAATTAAGCCAATGAAAAACAAGAAGATGGCGTGAATTTCCCAGCAAGCTCAGATGCCCTTGGGCAGAGAGAGGCCAAGCTTGTGAACAGCTCTGGCCTCCTGTTTCTGAGGGAAGAGAAACATGAGTAGTGCAGAGCAGACCCTAAACAACAGCTGGCGCCCCCAGAATAGGAAATGCTGCCCAGCTCCCATGCAATTCTGATTCCAGAAACAAATACTCTACAGGCACTGAAATCTCGGAGGTGCAAAGCATGCTCATGTACGTGTACGGTTAGAACCAAAATGAGAGGAAAGCACACTGAATGCAGGTCTCTGCAGGGTGCACATGAAGGTCCTGGTTTGAGAAATCCTGCCCACTGCATAAAACACAGAATTCCAAACCTTTCACCATCAAGTTCATTTGCTGGTGGCCCCTGCAACATTTTGGAATGCAGGAGTCTCCTCAACCCCCAGCCTTGGAATGCAGTTTCCTCAGCCCCCCTTCTCGTTTCCCAGGGGTTGCGATCCCTCCTCTCTGCACTAACTACAGTACCGCAGACCCTGTCACTGCTGTGCCCATCACTTCAAGCCCAACGCCCCTGGAAGTGACATGACGCTGTAGGGACTGGGGGACCAGGTGATGCAGACTGGATCTCATCTGTGGGGTGTGGGCTGCTTTACTTGGGGTCTGTGCCAAGCGCTCTTCTGTGCTATACAGGTGGGGGCCCAGAGTCATACTGCTTCTGAGATGTGTTCCTGTAACCCTTGGCTGAGGTGGAGGGAGAGGAAAGGAAGCAGGACATGGCTTTCCTTCTCTGGGGTAAAGGACAAGAGTAATTTCCTCCTTGCCCTTCTTTTTTTCCAGTGAACTCCCAAATCTGTTATGTACAGCCATATAGATGAGTAAAACAACCCCGCTCTCAGGTGCCCATGGCCTAGAGATAAAGTCTGGAAGACAAAATTCCCAACTCAAAGGGGACCGAGAGGCAGCCCTGGGAGTGCCAAGAGGGGAGGAGGACAGTGTCATGCCCTGCGCTCTCACAAGCCCAACTGAGGAGACAGTTCAGGCATGACTCAGCACTCAGATGGCCAGCAGCAGGACAAGGGGGTATCGGATGAGGTGGAGCTGGGCCTGGAGCAGCAGAGTTCTGACGGGATGCAGAGGGTATGGGGCTCAGAGGGCACAGGACTCATGAGTGAATCTGTGCAGCTGGGGAGGGTGTGGAAGGAGACACTGAGCCCCCAGTTCTCAGTCACCTGCCATGACCAGTCTGAACAGTGCCGGATCCTCCAGGCTCCTAGAGTAACAGTGCAGCCTTACCAGCTCCTAGAAAATCCCCTTCTACACGCACTGCTCATCAGTAGGAGTGACAGCGTTGCAGCTAACATCCACCAGGGGCCCACAGGCACTGTCACCGCTCTTCCTGTATCACCTGTTGTATCCTCCCAACCTGTTAACAGCCCATTTTCCTGGAGGGGGCTGCAGCATACAGGCCAAATAACTCAGAGAAAGTGCCTTGGACAGGAAGCCCCACTGTGAAGCCTGGGTCTTTTTTTTTTTTTTTTAAAGATTTATTTATTTATTTATACAAGCACTGGGTAGTCAGAGGTGCGGGAGGGTGAGAGGGTTCACCAGAGCCAGAGCAGAGAGTAGAACAGGCAGTCTGACGAAGTGCACTGCTGAGGGGAGCAGCGGGCGGCAGGAGAGGTCTGCGCACCATGTGGGACCCTCATCAGGTGGCTGGGCATTGAACCGGTGCTGCAGAGGCTGCAGGTACCTTCCCAACTCAGCGCTCAACCGCTGCGCCACAGGGGAGGCCCTGAAGCCTGGGTCTTAATGATGATGGAAGCCCAGCCCACCCCTTACTGGTCACCAACCTCAAGATTCCGCACCTCTCATGCTCTTTCTTTTATTTCTGTGTCTACTGCGCTGGGAAGGTCTACCACCCCCATGTTTCTGTGTCTCTCAGTCTGCTCCTGTGGCATTCCATTTTGCCCCCAGAGACCCTGCTGATCCTTTAAGCTTTGCTGGAATTATCACTATTTTGGGGTCTAGCATGCTGTCCTCCAGGGGCCTACAGCACTTCTGTTTCTGAAAAGTCAACTTTTCTATTTTTTTCCACTTAAAACATTTGTTTTCCTCTAGTTACCAGTTTTGACTCACAAACTAACAAAGGCTTCTTTATATACACAATTTTGCATTTTTCTAGGCCATACAGACAAAATGCTTAAGGAAACCTTAAAAAAGGAAATTGCATCACTGTTACAAAAGTGCTGTATTCACTGTGAAATTTTTTTCAATTTCAAGCAAAATGGAGAATCTTATTTCTTTTTTCATAGTAACTAGAAAAAGCTTGGTGTAAACCCAACCACATCTTTTCCTATTTTTTTCTTTAAAACATTTAAAATAGGGCCTCCCTGGTCACGCAGGCAGTTGAGCACAGCGCTGCCAGGCTGTCCACAGCCTCTGCAGTGCCAGCTGGATCCTTGCCGGCTGGAGATACCCACATGGCGAGGCAGATCTCTCCTGTCTTGCCCGCTGCTCCCCTGAGCAGTGTATTTCAGCTGGTCTGCCTACTCTGTCCCCCACTCTGTCTCTGGCAAATCCTCTCACCCTCCTGCACATCTGACCTATACCCCGATTCTTATATAAATAAATCTTTAAAATAAATAAATAAATAAAACATTTAAAGTAAAATGCAGGGCCTCCCTGGTGGTGCAAGGGGTTAAGCATCGCACTATAAAGCAATCCACAGCCTCTGCAGCATGAGTTTGATCCCTTGCCAGGGAGAAACTCACATGGCGAGGCAGGCCTCTCCTGTCTCGCCCGCTACTCCCCTCAGCAGTGTATTTCAGTCAGTCTGCCTGTTCTGTTCCCTACTCTGTCTCTGGTGGATCCTCTCCCACCGCCCCCCACATCCCTCGCCTGTACACCAGCTCTTGTATGCATAAATAAATAAATCTTTAAAAAAAAAAAGTAAAATGCATGTGGGGCCTCCCTGGTAGCACAAGGAGTTAAGACGCAACCTGTAAAGCTATCCATAGCCACTGCAGCACGAGTTCGAACCCCAGCCAGGAGGTTACCCACATAGCACAGCAGACCTCTCCTGACTCACCTGCTGTTCCCCTCAGCAGTATCTGTTCTGTTCCCCACTCTGTTTCTGGTGAATCCTGTCACCCCCCCACACCTCTGGCCTGTACTCTGGTTCTTGCATGCATAAATAAATCCTTAAAAAAATAAAGTAAAATGCACGTAACATAAAATTGATCATTTAACCATTTTAAAGCGTAGAGTTCTGTAGCATTAAGCATATTCGTACTACTGTGCAACCATCACTTTTAACAGGCTTGGCATTTTCACTAGATTATAAGCTCCTTAAGGTCTCAGGTATAACTCAGCTCTTATGCAGCAGGTGGCAAGGATGATGGCAGAGGGAAGGTGTGGGCTGCTTTCCAGTATGACCAGTGGGTGGCATAGGTTGAGATATGCAGCCTAAGGCTTGGCACCTTCACAAAGCAAGCTAAACTCTCTGTGGAGCACAGTGGACAGCAGAGACAAGTCTTAAAGACAGGGGCGACTTGAGGCAACACATCATAGGAATTCTACAAGAGAACTTGTGTGAGGTTAACAGTCTTCAAGCTGGTATTCAAAAGAGTATGCATTTTGTTTACCCTCTCACAACTATGCTGATGAAATAGGTTCATAAGGATAGAACAATCTGCCTAAGGTGACATAGGTAGAAAACAGCAAAGCAGTACTCAACAGTCTTCTGATTGCATTTGTTGCTTCTAATTCAGTTGCAAAAGGAAAGAGTGAAACTTGACGATAGGCCGGATATGGGTATAAAGGCCAGAAGTGAGGTGGAGATGACCTCAGAGAACAGGCCTCACATTCTATCCCCAAAGATGGGAGCACATATGAACCGCAGAACTTGCCCCAGGGAACTGTACAAGGACAGGTCACTCAGGACATGTGGGTGGAATGCTGTGGGGTTGGAGTCCATCACCATTGACTGGGGCCCACTATGTGTTAAAATCTGCATTAAAAATCTGCATTAAAATCTCTACAATCAGGTGCCATTTCTCTTTATTGCACGAAGAGGTTAAGGGGCTTGCCTGAGGCCACACAGTTGCAGTGGTGCAACTGAGGATCTATGACACATGTAAGGAGAAGCAGCTGCAGCCCAAACACTCCCTTTAATTAAACACTAACCTTAAATACACTTGGGAGAGGGCCATGGGTGTGGAGAGGCCATGGGGTAGGGGCACTTAGGCAGAGATGTGGTTCAGCAAAGGTGCAGGGGCGGGTGGGGCAGAGATCTAAGCAGTGGGCGCTGTCCAGATGCTCCTGAGGATGGGAATTGGGAAGGACCTGACCTCGGGCAAATGGGGGCAGTCACCCTGAGCACCCCATGCTGCCTCACAGTCTTAAGGTCCCCACCTGGCTTTCAGCTCGACCACACCCCCGCCATCCCATGGGCCCCCAGTTCTGCACCCTTGGCATCCAATTCCCCACCTGGGGTGCTGCTCTAGCTCTTTAGCCCTTCACTTGGCCCCCGAACCCCTTGGGTCTCCCGATCTCGGCCTTTCTAGTCCCCTGAGTCTGCCCCTCTTGTTCCTCAGCACCCCGCTCCATCCCTGTACGCCTCGCGCCCATACTTGAACCTCATCCGAGCCCCGTCAGTGCCAGGGCCCCGCGCCCCGGGTTTCCTCAACCCCAGTCCCAAAGGCCTCACCTGCAGCTCCGCGCCCAGCGTCCCGCGTCCCACTCGCGGATCCCAGCCAGCCCCGCCCACTTCCCGTCCCTGGCCGCCGCGGGCGCCGCGCAGGCGCAGTCGGAGCCGGGCGGGCTAGGGAGCTCTACTGCCCTCTGGCGGCCCGGCCTGGCCACCAATGACTACGGCCCTTTCATTTCAGGAAAAGTTTCGCGCCCCAATTGGCGGGTCCTGGCTGACTTGCAGCCGACATCGTGTGTTCTGGAGCTGGGGAGCTCCTTGGCAAGTTGCTTCACTTCTCCAGCCTTGGGTGGGTGAGTTGACGGGGGAGTGCAATCCCTATCCCACAGGGCTCAGAAGTTAAGCGACTTGTGCAATCAATGGCCCGCCAAGCAGCACAGTGGGACGCAAACCCAGACTGCCCAGGGCAGTCAGACAGGGAGGTACAGTGCTCTGCACCCACAACACGTTTCCTGTGGCAACTCTGACAAATTACCACAAATGATACCAATATACCATTTACAGTTTTGGAGGTCAGAAGCCCCCAAAGTCTTGATGGGCTAGGTTCAAGGTGTCTGCAGGGTGTTTTCCTTTCTGGGGACTTTCGGGAAGAACTTGTTCCCTTTTCTTACCAACTTCTAAAGACTGCTCCATCCTTGGCTCATGGCTCCTTCCATCTTCAAAGCCAGGAACCTTCGGAGAGCCCTTCTTACTCTAGCATTTCTTTGGTTTCTGCCAGATCCCCTGTTCCCTTTTTTATTTTTCTTGGAAAAGGTGATAACTTTTTAAAAAATAATTTATTTTTATTTATATCTTTTACATCATTGTGTATTCCTCATAAAATTCCCACCACCAGTTCATCTGTGAACCTTCACCATAGTCCCTTGTGCTCTTCTCTCCCTTTTCCCTATTCCTTTTTTAAAGCCACTTGTGATGACATTGGGCCGTCCATAATCCAGGATAATGTCCCTATTGTAAAGTCAGATGAGAAATGTTAATTCCATTTGCAGCTCCAGTTCCCCTTTGCCTTATACCTGACATCATCCAGCATAGGTTCCAGGCATGGAACATGGGCATCCTGGGGGAGGGAGGGAGAGGAAAAGCATTTTTCTGATACAAAATGATTTCTTTTGGGGCCTCTCTGGTGGCACAGGGGTTAAAGTCTCAGCCCTATCAAGCTGGGCTATCCCCAGCCACTGTGGCAGGAGTTTGATTTCTGGCCAGGGAGCTGACCCACATGGCTCAGCAGACCTCTCCTGTCTCACCCTGCTGCTCCCCTCAACTGTGTATTTCAGTAGATTTGCCTGTTCTGCTCCCCACTCTGTCTCTGATGAATCCTCTCACCCCCTGCAGCTCTGGCCTACGCCCCAGTTCTTGTATGTATAGATAAAAATAAATCTTTTTAAAAAATAGATTTTTAAAAAGATTTATTTTATTTATTTAGGTATAACTCAGCTGCACCATGTGGGTCAGCTCCCTGGCTGGGGATGGAACTCGTGCTGCAGTGGCTGCCGGTAGCTTCATAGTGCTGAGACTTCCTTAACCCCTTGTGCCACCAGGGAGGGCCCCCCCCACCAAAAAAGATTTCTTTTAAAGGCAGAAGAAAGAAATGAACTTTTAGATCAAAGAAGATGTTACAGTACATATTACTAATCTTTATATCAATGCAATTATAAAGTATTTTTTTAAAGTTTTAATGGAAGGGCCCTCAAAAGTCCAATTGTGGCCTTGCCCACTTTCAGGTCCTTCCCTGGGATTAGGGTCTCTGGGATACTTCATGAACAGGAGAGGGTTTGGTGAGGCCAGAAATCTGGAGAACTAGCACTTGACCAATTTAAAAGCAAACTATGTGGAGTGAGGGTAGGTCTGGAAGACAGGAGGTGTAGGGCAGAGAAAGCAATGTGGGAGGGGTACTGGCTCATCCATTCTACTCACCCCATCCTAGATCCTTAACTACCTGTTAGTGTGGTGATCCCTAGCAAGGCCTGAGGCGACAACTTCTTATAATCTGTGACCTTAGACATTTTCCTTATATCATCTAAACCTGTTTCTTTACCAGAAAAATGGAGACAATAGAAACCAACTCATCTTACAGGTTTTTTTTTTTTTTTTTTAGACCCTCTGTTACCACCTGCATTTGAGTGACCGTGGAAAAAAGCAGCACAGGTGAGATGGTGTCTGTGAAAGCTGATATGCCTGCAGGTCTCCTCAGCCGGGACCCACATTTTTTTGAGAACTGATTCCAAGCATTTGAAGTTGGCAGTAGGCAACAAAGTGAGGTACTGCCACTCAGCCAGGAGCTTGCCCCTTATAGGCACCTGGAGATTACTTGTGCCCAGTGGCTTTTGTCAACCCCTCCCTGTCTGCATTCCGTCACGCCTCAGCTCCTGCCTTTTGGTTTTCACCCTTGTAAAGGGTATCTCTCGACATAACCCTGTCTACCCAGACACTGAGTTCCAGCTTCTCTGATTCTCTCACAAGATCAAGCCCCTGCCTAGGTGGAGGGAAAACTGGGGGTTCTCAAAACACTCATCCCTGGTTTTCCTCCCATCTCTGCCCTGATTGAACTTTCTCCTGGCCCCTGTATGTTCCATGTTCTGAAACTTGCCCTGAGACTATTGCTTCCCCCCCCACATCTGCCAAGTGGTTAAAACCTCCCTCTTCCAAATTTTCCTTTCTCCATGCCTTCATATCACATTGCTCGTGGGCTTTCAAACCTTAAGTGATGCCAGCGACCTTGGGAAGGGAGTGCAAACTCCTCACCCTTGACTTTCCAGACCACTTACAATGGGGCTCCTGCCTGGCATCCCCCTACAGCAGTGCTACCTTCTGAAGGGGGCTCTGGGCTTTCCCTTGGCTGCTGGAATCTTCAAGGATCCGATTCATGGAAGTGGAGGGGGAGCAGATTCATATCTGCAGGTTTGTGGTGCCTTCTGTCCGGCAGCTTGGGAAAGGGTGCTACACTCATTTGAGCAAATACATGTGGGGGCACCCAGTGTCAATGTGTCAGGTCTCAGGGTGACAGGTTTGGGGTTTGCCAAAGGGCAGCCAATTCAGCTGGATGGACACTCGGGCCACTGTGAGCAGTATGAAAAATGGGATGCCTGTAGTCAATGATGTCCCGACTTCAAGGGCAGACAGAAGGTACAGTCCCAAGGAGAGCAGAAGGCAGTTTTGCCCTAAACAGGTCTCCCTTCCTCCCTGTCCTCCTTGCTTCTGTAGCCACTTTGGAAGTAACAACGGGGTTGGATGGTATTGGATGGTATGAGGTGAAGGGCCCCGAATGCAGAGTCCAGTTTTGAAAGCCTAGGGCTTTAAAGGAGTCACCCCAAGGGTCAATTACAGAGAAAAAGAAATGAACCCTTTTTGAGCAGCCCTGCTTGAGGCTAAAACCTCAGTGAAGAATTCTGGGAAGGAATGCATGGACTCTATTTAAGGTGTAAGATACAATCTCTGACCTGCTAAACACTGACACTAATTGGACTGCCTCACTGATGGTCATAAGAGTTGAGGGAGCTGGGTTACCTTCCTGAGAAAGCCAGTCCACTATATGATTGGGTCATGTGGTAAAGTAGTCAGCCGCTAGCTGATGTCAGGACTCCAGAACCTGAGCAGCGCAGGCAGAGAGAAAGGAGCACAGCCTCTGAGAGGGGGGCATTCTAAGGCACCTGCCTCAGGGCAGCCTTTCTAAAGTGAAGCCTCTCTGGCTCACTGCACTTTCTTTGAACTTTTAGAATAGTTCCCCAAACTGTTCCAGGGAATGTAGGGGTTGATTTTTGTGGCCTCCAAAAGGAAGGAACCTGGAGGCTGTGGTGCCTGTGTGGAATAGTGCTGGCAAGGTCGCACGTTTATTTACGGAAGCCCTTCTCAGAGCCTTCAACATTCCAGTGTGAACTGGGAACCTTCTACCAGACACTTCTGATCTGCCCCTTGCATGAGTGTTTCATGGCAACTTGGAAAACCGGGTACTGAGTCCCACTGCCACATGGTGGAGCATGGGCACGGGGGTGGGGGTAGGAGACGTTCCAACATGTCGATATGGTTGCCTAATGCCGGTGGCCCTGAGGGAGGGTAGTCCCCAGTTTGTACATGATTCCCACAGGGTGGTTTGGCTTATGGGGTATAACCTGCTGTGGTAATGGCTTCACTGGGGCATCCTGCAGCTCACCATGGGCCGCCCCCTTCCCCAGCTCTCTCCTTAAGTTACCAGCATGTCTGAGAAAATAAGGGCTTGTTTGAGAATATGAATCAGGCCCCATAAGGCTGCTGGTCACATGCAGGCACCACATATAGAGCTGCTGAGTAAAGAGAGTGGGGTGTGATCCCAAGCAGTGGGCTAGGGTAAGGGCCAAGGTCCAGAGAGGATTTCTTCCAGCTCCACCTCTTCCACCAGGGGTGACAGGCTGTTGCTGCCTTCCTTCCTTACAGGTGTCAGGGTCATTTCTCCTTGTGCACATAGCTACTATGCCATCTCATACGTTCTGGAATGTGATGGGAGCCCTGGGCTAGGTCTGTTCCTATGCTTCCTCCCTGCAGGGACCCACTGGAGCCTGGGAAGAGCAGGGGTATGCAGGAAGTGTTTGCAGAATGGAGAGGCGGAGACAGGGAGGACATGGTACTTCTCTGACAACAGCGAGAGGTCCTGAGCTACTGGTTCTAAAGACAACAGATGTTTTTAAATTATTTAATTGTGAGGCTGTCATACGAAGTAGGCAGCCAGGGCTGACATCTTGTCCTTTGGCCGCTTGGGGTTAAATTTCCCAGTGGGCCTCCGGCCCCGGCCCCGGCCCCGGCCCTGTCTCCTCCCTGGCCCACCACGGTGCATGGGGTGGCGGGTGGCCGCATGCTTCAGCTCCACCAGCTCCTGAAAGATGGGGTCACAGAAGACACAGCCTGTGTGCTGTGTCTCATTGTCCGGGAGTGGGGACTTGGCCTTGTTGAAGTCCACATCAAGCAGGGCAGCTTCACAGATGCTGCAGGTGTCAGGGGACACTCGCACACGGTGTGCGTTCTCGAAACAGTGTGCTACCACATTGCACTTGTTGCAGGCCACCTTCCACTTGGGGCCCG